CGCTTCGTTTAAGCTATTGCCAGTTATTCTGAGTTCCTACTTCAAGAAGTATTTACATTAAAAAAAAAACAACTGGTAAACTTTTTTCTTTAGAGCAGTTTCAGGTTCTGTTACGTTTTTGCATGTAAGTTGTAAGCATTTTTACAGATGAGTTCTTGTTTAAGCGCCTAACTGATACCTTTATTTAAAGGCCAAGCCAAGGAAAGTCTTTTCTAAAGTCATTGTCCTGTTTAACAAGGTGAATCCCTGCATGCTTCTAGGAAATTGTTCATTTTTTTTAAATTTTCACTATTTAATTGCACTATTTTAGTCATCTTAGCTCTGCCGTGATACATAATTCATGATTTATCCTGCATCTATTTCATTATGTAGTACTGGTTTAAAATTACACAAGGGCTTTAAGAATAAGATAACTGTGTGTTTAATGTTAAATAATACATTAAGGAGTAATTATTTTGTGTGTGTTTGTGAAGCTGGAAATTGCTACAAGTATATAAAGTTTTTATTTAGCTCAGGTGTTATCTCACTCTTAATTATATAATAAATAATGCATTTCTAGCCGGTAGCATTGGTTTTTCTATTTTATGTGGAACATTAGAAGGGCAAAAAATGTCTTCACTTACATTTTAGAGATTTTCTATACTCCTGGCATCATGCATAGATGTGACTAACGGCCAGATCTTCAGATCTTACTAAACTAATTCAGAAGCGCTCCCAGCATCATTGTAAATGATTAATAAACACAGCACATTGAGGCTTTGCCAGAGCTTTGCTTCTTCAGACATAGAACTGAACTGCTTCCGAATGATCCTTTATCAATTTACTTATGAAAGAAACCCAGGAAGAAGAAATATTCACAGTATCACTAACTCACTCTTCTTGTGGGTTCGCACCAGGTACTGCACACTAGAGGGAATCGTTTCCACTTAGGATCGCGTGTTCGTTCCAGCAAGCGTTCAGAGCTGTGGGAAAGGCAGGGGATATTTGTTTAATTTGCTTATTTCATGCTCAGGGTCCTTGACTTGAGATCTCCTTTGGAATTCTTCTGTGAAAATTTGTGCAGACTTCGCAGCTTCGGCGTCAGTAATAAGAACTGTTTGGTCGTTTTGGCTTAGAGAGTGTTGAATTTGGTGCGTGCGTGCATAGTTGCACATGCTCCTCGCTGCTTACCTCTGCTGCAGCTGGTGTCCGCCCTTCCTCTGCAGAGCACTGGAGACAGGCGGGGCTTACTGTAGTAGACATGTTGGAGACTCAGGGCAAGAGTGTGTTGCCGCCCGCAGAAACTCATGACGCACTGAGCTTCTGGCTTTAAATAAGGAATCCTGTGTTTCAGTCTGCTGCTTGTCCTGTGCTAGAGAAGACGTTGGTTTTTGTTGTTTCTTTTTTTTTATAATTATTTTTACATATGAGAAGATGTTGGGTTTTTAATTAATGCTCCTGAGAACTCGTCAAGATACTTGACTTTTATTTTTTTTCCTTTTGTCTACAGCAAAGCCCGGACTCTCTTTGAAAAAAATGCAGCCCCGATCCTGCACTTGTCTGGCATGGACGTGACTGTGGTGAAGGTGAGCGCAGCAGAGCACTGACTTGACCCACCTCCTGGTCCCTGTAACACAGCCCAGCAAAATCGCCTTTCACTTCAGAAGACGGGAGCAAGAAATCACTGCTGTGTCCTTGTACTGATAACTAGTAAAAGCAACTTTGGTTTTTTAGAGTATTGTTAGCTTTTCGGGGTAGGGCTAGATGAAGCAGGAACTGAAAAATGGGATGTGACATTATTGTTTCTTGAAAGGTGAAAGTGGTTGTAGCTTTAAGAATTCTTTGCCTAGAAAAATAAAACCCTTCAAGTTTGAGTAATTAATTTCTTGGTAATTCCACAGGCAGTTGAACCTTTTTTCACTGGTGCAGAATTGTCTCTGGTAAGGATTTTAAGTCAAGTTTTAGAATTTACGAGATTTAGATAAGAAGAAAAGGGTACACAGCTAAGAAGGACCTGTGCTATTTCGGAAAGTGTGTTGGCATGACACGACGGGTGAGGTGTGTGCACTTGGTGGAAACCACGGTTTCGTCTGTCAGACTGGCCTCCCTCTGCGGTGGCGCACACTGGCTCTCAGTCATAGAAGTAAGCGTATTAGTTCCGTCTACTTCATTCAGCTTTCCTTTGCGTCTTGTCTGAGACTCAGTCTCCTGTCGTCTGCAGATGGGAGGACTTGTCGGGGCCGACATCTGCCTCGCTGTAGTACGTGCTGCAGAGTCTGATATGAGTGATCCTGGCGCGGCTGTGGCGGGCAGGTGTCGCTTCAGCCTTGAGTGTCTGCTTGAACTCCTAAGTAACGCTATCTCGGCATCTCGGCCTGGGTCAAACTTTCAAGTGATCTTTTTTCCCCCCCCCCAACTCGATTTCTTTATTGGCTCTAAAGAAAGTTCTATTTCTTCTTGAATTAATAGTTATCCACTTTTAAACTTTTTTTTATAAAAGATTTATTTATGCATACGAGAGCTGGGGTACAGGCCAGAGATGCAGGGAGTGAGAGAATTCAGCAGAGACAGAGTGGGGAGCAGAACAGGCGAATCTACTAAAGTACACTGAGGGAAGCAGAGGGGAACAGCAGGGAGATAGGAGAGGTCTGTTACACCTTGTGGGTCAGCTCCCTGGCTGGGGATCGAACTCAGGCTGCAAATAGCTTCATAGTGCTGAGACTTGACCCTTGCGCCACCAGGGAGGCCTCTTTTTAGCTTCTAAATATCTGTAATTATTATGTATCTTAACATTGTTTCTTTGTGCCCTCTTACTTTTTTCTCTCCATAGTCCTGTTAGAAACTTGTTCGTTCATCTTTGAGCATCAAGACATGGTTATGTCTTGTTTTCCTCTCCTTGATATTTGTTTCATTAACCTCTGCTCTGTTTCTTGTTTTCTTTGGATTTTTTCCCAGCTATTCCTTTCTGATATTTTACCTTGGATCTTTATCCTGTGAGTTTTCACCCCCTAGGTCCCTCTCGGTTCTTGCACATGACACCGTCTCATCTCCTTATCCGGGCGAGTGTACTCCATCGTGTGTGTACACCCTCTGCTCGCCCAGGCCGTGAGTCAGCTGCAGGGAGCCTGCAGGTGCAGCTCTCTCTCAATTAGTGCTTTTGTGTTCTTCGGGCCCACGTCCGTGAGGAGGTATCTGGATTCCATGGAGTCTCCGTTTTTAGTGTTGAGGCATCTCCATTCGGCTTTCCTGGTGACTGCACCGGTTCACATTCCCACCAGCGGCACCCAAGGGGTTACCTTTTCCCTGCATTCCTGCCAACACTTGTTTGTTGCTTTTTGGATAATAGCCATTCTCAGAGGGGAAGAGATATTGTCATTTTTCTTTGCATATTCCCAATGTGAAATGCTGGACATCCTGTCTGTTAGACAGCTATATGTTTTCTTTAGAGACAGTGGGAAAGGGAGGCTCAGAAGTCTTCCAGCAGCTTCGGAGAGATTAGGGAGTCCAAGAGCACTGGCGGAAGAGGGACTCAGGAGCTGGAGGCAAGTGCCAGTCCTGACTGGGGAGCCCAGAAGGAAAGCAGATCCTGTCTCCAAAGCAGGGGGTTCTGCAAAAAAGAAAACATTAAAAAAAAAAAAAAAAAACATTTTGGAAAAGAAGATGAGTCCTTTGCCTGTTTTTTGGTTGGCTTGTTTAGGGGGTTTTTTGTTGGTAAGTTGTATGAGTTACTTATATTTTTTTGGGCATTAACCCTTTGCTTGCTTTTGTATTCTTTGCCATTGCACTGGAGTCCCCAGTGACATCCCTAAGATAAGTGCTGAAGAGCTTATCACCGGTGTTTTCTTTTGTGCATTTTATGGTTTACATTCAAGACTTGAGCCCGTTTTGAGTTCTTTGTTACATATGGTGTTAATGATGTCATTTCATTCTATTGCATGTGGCTGTCCGGTTCTCCCAGCACCCTTTATTGAAGAGATTTTTCTTGCTTTATTTTGTGCTCTTGACTCCTTTGTTGTAAATTAGTTGCCCACAACTGTATGGTTTTATTTATAGGCTCTATGTTTTCTCCTGTTGACCTGTGTGTTTTTATTCCAGTACTGTACTGTTTTGATTATTACTGTTTTATAACATCATCTTGAAGGTGATACCTTTGTTTTTGTTCTTTTTTCTCAGGATTGCTTATATTATTAGGATCTTTATAATTCCAAGTAAAATTCAATGATCTTTTGTTCTATTTCAGTGAAGAATGCCATTGGGACTTTGATGGGGATTATGTTGAATCTATTGCTATGGGTAACAGCCATTTTAACATAGCCATCTTCTTAGTCCTTGAGCGTGGAATGTAATTTTCTTTCTTTGTGGTTTCTATTTTCTAGTAGCCAGGTCTTTCACATCATTGCTTAAATTTATTTCATGGTATATAATTCTTTTTGATGAAATTGCAAATGGAATAGTTTCCCTGACTTCTCTACAAGCTCATTTTTTTACTTATGGAAACACAATAGTTTTTGTTGTTAATTTTGTAGTTAGGCTCTATATTTTAGCAGAAATACCACAGAAAGATGGTTGTCTTTCCCAGTGCATGGTGCAAAAAAGACTTAGGAGTTCTTTGAATTAAACTACTAACTTGAGGCTTTCAAATTGTCAGGTAGTGTGAGTTTGGGTTATTTACCTGTGTCAGGACTAGCTCAGAGTGATGAATTCTCAGGGAAGAATTACATACCTTTCCTTTTGCAACAGATTTCAAAGCAGGAAATACTCCTTATAGTCCTCTGGGGTAGAGAAGGGAGTCAGGGTAGTTCACTTTTATTTTTACTCCTCTTTAAACTGAGCATGAGTCTCTCAGGCTTACGGTGGGTGTGGTTCTGCCAGTACATTTGCCAGCCTCAAGCAAGTCAGGAATTTGGCTCGGTTCTTCCCGACATTGGTGACGGCTTGAAAATCCGAGCTCAGGTTCACCTGCCCACTGGGTGTCCTCAAGGCACTTCCCGTCTAGGTGAGCGTCTTTGGCCTGGTATTCCTGCTCTGTTGTATGGCATCATATTCTTTGCTCCATTTTGCGTATCAATGCGTCAGAACTGCTTTTCATATTTCACCCCCTAGCTTTAACTCTCTGCCAGCGAACCTAGATTACTGTCGTCCCAGAGACAGAATTGTTGCACTTCACATGTACGGTTGATTAAAATCACATGAAGCCCAGTCCCAGTTGAGAGCAGTTCACCTTGCTAATTGTTCTGTGTACTACTTCTCAGCAGTGTTACAGGAAGCTATCATGGCCCTTCCCCAACACAAAAAATTGCATTGATAAGGAAATTAAGATCCCAAAAGTTTAAGGTCACTTGGCAAAAAGCAGGAGAGTCGGGATTTAATCAAGGTTGCCTGAGCTCCCAAGTCTGTGTTCTTTTCCTTTCATCTTCTCCCCATTGCATGTGCACTGGGCTCTGCACTCGGATGAGACGCCCTGGTGAGGGATGGCACAGACCATGTGTTGGACTGGAAAGGAGTCCTTTGCCTAGCTCACTGCCAGACAGGCACGTCACTCTACATTTGGATGGCGAGTCACAAAAAGTGCTTTAAAGCACTCACTGGGTGGTTGCTGAGTCCCTCCCGATGTAAAGTAAAATTACTGTGATGTTTAGTTTTTCATGTAGAATTTAAGAAAAGATTCAGTGTCAAACAGTAAAGAGCCGTATGTTTTGTTTGTTTTAAAGATTTATTTATTCATACAGAACTGGGGTACAAGCCAGAGGTATAGGGGCAGTTAAGAGGTTACACCAGAGACAGAGTGGGGAACAGAACAGGAATGGGCGGGTCAGGACAGGTCTGCCGCGCCATGTGGGTCACCTTCAGGGCGGGGGATTGAACTTGCAGTGAAGTGGCAGCAGGTAGTTTGCAGTGCTGCGCCCTAACCCGCTGCGCCACCAGGGAGGGCCAAGAGCCCATGTTTCTAAACATTTGGCTTTGTGACTCAAGGGTGGTAAATTTACCAAAGTCTGCATCGTATTTCAGACGGATTATGAGGGCCAAGCCAAGAAGCTCCTGGAGCTGATGGAAAGCACCGACCTGATCATCGTGGCTGGGGGAGACGGGACCCTGCAGGAGGTATGGCCATTGTCCAGTCTGAAGCCATGTCAAAGGCGAGGAAAATGGGAAGTGGATCTTAGCGCACAAAGCAGTTATAATTCAAGGACATTATTTCCTTTTAATCCATTCTTTTAGGGTTGCTATTCTCTCAAGTAAGGGTGACGTTAATTTTTTCACCTGTATGCTTGTTTCATTGCTTTGTGTAAATGCTGTTCCCAGCACATAAAATTTCATTTTAGCAAGTTTATGTTTGATAAGCTCAAACAGACAAATGGTGATGAGTCTGATAAGCTTTTTGTATTCTGAAGGCTTACAAAGTAGTCCTGTTTGCTCTGGGATCACAGTTTGGATTATGAGGACCATTTCATAGGAAATCCACCTCCAGTTCCCCATTCTCCTTCGGTTCTCGCCTCTCCAAGTGTGACGGTGCCCCTCAGTGCGTTAGGAAGAAGCCTCTGTGTTCAGGGGTGTCATCTGCTTGGGTGAAAAACTGTGTCCCAGCGCTGCCTTAGGCCACTGAGGACAGTGAGCACCATGTCCTGCAAGTACCCCTTTACCACACGGCCGCCTAGGACTTTCACTGGATACTGGAACCCCCATGGGTGCCCCCCCCCCCTCCATCCTTGTGGCCTGATTCACTCCGAGCCGCTTTCCTGCTCGCCGCCTTCTGCCACCGCCGCTGCTCTCCTTGGTGTCAGGGTTCAGGGGCAAGCAGGGGACAGCACTGCTGTCCCCTGGTGTGACTTAGCAGTTCTGTGAGTCTTAGTAAGCTGCTTTTTAAAAAACTGTGCTAATGATCTTGTAATTGTTTTTGTGACTTTGTAATGAAGTGTGAAGAATACTGATAGCAGGCCAATGAAGAATGAAGTAGACTTCGCCCCAGCCCCATTTAATCCTGAAAGCAAGTGAGCTGTAGGAGATGAAGGGAGAACATTGCCATCAGCCTTTACTTCACAAAATGTTTTCAAGAAAGATACAAGTCATCTGTTTGGCATAACCCCAGTCATATAAAAACATGCATTGATAAGGATTAGAGGGAGATATTCCAACCAAAGCGTAACAACTGATTAATGATTATATCCCGCAGGGTATGATTATGGGAAAGTACTTTTTCTCTAGGAATTTTTCAGTTTTTACACGGCGTGCATTCCATTTTAAAAATAAATTCAAGTTGAAAATATTTTTTAATACAGGGACTGTCATCCCCTTTGTCTTCACATTCCCTACCAAGAAACATTTCTAGAGTGAGAACCTCCCCTAATGGGATCAGGTCCGAGCTGTCAGCAGCTCTGAGGTTCCACAGCACAGGCCTGGCTGTCTGACGCCATGAAAGACAGAGTGACCCTGACTTCAAGAATAAGCTCTGAGAACAAAGATAGAAAGGCTTGTTGAGGAGAGCTGGATCTAGGTTACCTGCCTTAAGGATGCTGAAGCTGTTCAGGAGTCTTTCTGGAGAAGCAAGGCCTGGGGAGGGGTTTCCTGGCCAGGGAGGAGAAGGAGAAGGTGCAGACTCGGATGTGTGCCCTGTGCGGACAGTCACCCACTGCACACCCCAACCCCACACCCCTGGGGTTCCAGATGCTTCTGACCAAACTCCCAAACAGTTACTCAGAGAACTGTGAGCACTCAGAACCTGGCTAGAGATGATGTGGAGTGAGAAATGTCAGTTCAGTATAGCAGTCTCAACTGAATACTTTTAAATCTTAACTCAAATTCCCTCGGGGGGAATAAGGGCAAATATCTTTGCTCTGGGCTGGCCTATAATGAAATCCACCAGCTAATTTTCACTTCTCATAGATCCATTTTTCAGTGCAAAGTTTTTGATAGACAGCTTTTCATTTTATAAATGCACTAAGTGTTTTTGAATTATAATGGATTGTAATGTACACATGTACATTATGTGTACAAATGTATACATAACAATGACATTACTTACATTAAGAATAGCCAGAGCTCAGTTTTGAAAGATAGCCAAGAAAGGCGAAGCAGAAATTTTGAGACTGTCCTTTGGTTTAAGATGATATATTTTGCTGTATGTGCAAAAACTGGATGGAAACTTGTTTGTTTTTACCAAAACTAAACATTCAAAGTTTTGAGTTCATTTCTTCCCACTAAATCTCATTCACCACCTCAGCTGTGCTGCTGTGCTGTATTAACAGCTTCACCCCTTCCCCTGTGTATCCGTCTTATTTAAATCAATGAGCTTATAATGTCCTGGCTGTTATTTCCATATATTTTAGGTACAAATAGTAGCAGGTAGCACCAGGAACTAGATACCTGTTCACCTGGGTGAGCTGTGTGAGTTTCCTCACTTAATGGTGAGCCAGTTTACTCATTTATGAAATGAGGACATCTGTCTAGCTGTGATGTGTCCTGTGCCTTTAACTCGCCATTTCTGACCAGCATCTCCAATGTTCCCTTCTCCTAATGTGTATGGGGGAGGGGGGGCAATGCACATTTTATACTCAGGATTCTGTGTGCTTGCCTCACTTAGTATTTTACAATTGATCTTTTATTTTTGAGTTATAGGTTACTGATTTTCCCTGAACTCAACTATTACTGCCCTTTTTAAATTAATCTGAAATGCAACCTTCATAAAGTTGCATGATAGTGCTGGTAAAAATGTCCCCCATCGCTTTTATCATCGATTTATTCTGGCTGATTTATCTCACGTTGATGACACTTAGATATAACCTGTGACTGAAGGTGTGCAAAGAATGGAGGTAACGGGGCCCCTTACTGTCAGAACCGTGACGTTAACTGCAGTCACGATTCAGTCTCAGGTCTGAGAAGATGCTCGGTTCTTAGTGTCAAAAAAAGGAAAATGTGTTCTCCCTGTACGTGCTATCTGTAATAAGTTAATCTGGTTAAACTGTAGTAGCAAACTAAGTGTGTGTAGTTGATATGTGCCCCACACTGATGAAATTAAAACATACTTTTGCCAATCTAATGTGGATATTTTGTCATTATTTTATCTCAACCCTGATTGTACTACTGATCTGAAGTCAGCATGAAGTCTAACTCCCCTCGGGTTCTCTTGAAGGCTACAGTACTTAGCAGCCCGTGCATCTTCTGATGCAGTTTCTGGCTAGAAAACAGGAACACATTCATATGGGGTGGCATTTGAATCGGATACTTTCTTGATAAAGGAGATACATGTTGTTCATAATATATATATATATTTTTTAACATTTTAGGTTATTACTGGAGTTCTTCGAAGAGCAGATGAGGTGAGCTTTAAGAAAAAGAGGGATTACATTTTAGCTTTGCTTTTCTGTTTTTTCCTCTCTTCCTCCTTTCACTCACTTTTCTCCCCACTTTCTATATTTTTAAAGCAGCACAAGCTGTGCTTCTGCAAAATGAAAGTCTACTGCCCAGCTCGAGGCCACTCTTATAGCCCTTGGTCACCCAGCATCTAAGGACTTTGACTGGGAGTTGTCTAAAATAGGACATTTTCTTATAGGATCTTTTCTTCAAAGAATTTCTCCATAAGTAAATTGGGGTAAACATTACATATTCAGAGTCATGCAGCAGTAAAGGTGAACTAGATTTACAGGTATCTACAGGTTTAAATCTAGAAAATACTGAGTAAAAAAATTTAGTTGCCAAACGTGCTATGCATTTCTTCCAAGTTTTAGAATTCATAAGAGAAACATACTGTTAAATGAATGTCTGAAATCTTTGATTAAAGGTAGAGTCATATGAATGGAATCTCACCAATCTCAGAATGATGGTTTTCTCTGGAAAAAGAAGGACTTCAGTTGTATCTTACCATTTTTAGGGTTTTTTTTTTTTGCCTGATTCAATCACTCTGCTAAAAACTTCTCAATTTACTTATCTCTCTAAGATCTATGTATATTTTTACAGATTGTCTAGATACCTTGAAACATCTGAAGTAAATATGGCCAGATTTAACATTTGTTAATATGACTTGGGAATGTGGGTATTTGTGACATTGTTTTAGACTTTTCTCTGATAGCCAAAAATGTTTTATAAATAACAAGAAAGAAGATCCTTTCTACTCCTTTGGTAATAGATTGTGCTCAAATGTCTGTTTACTTGTGTCATTTGATTTAATTACTGCTAAGCCATTACCTCCTGCTACTTGAATTTCTTTATTCTCTTTGCCTTATTTGCACTTGAGATAATTTACAGAACACTCCCCCATCATCAGTCACTGTAAAAACACGAGACAGTTTTAGTTGACTGATGTATGCAACTTTTTCAAACAGTGTGACAACATAGTACAGTCCCTGTCACAATAGTACATTTATGGAATACCTTGAAGATCTCATTTTCTTAACCAAATTTCTTTTAACTAGTTGCTGCTAGTGAGTACTCAAATATTTCTCCCAAACTCAAGGTCCTGTTTTTTCCTGGGCTGCTATTGTAGAAACTGCTCTCAGTATTAGCTGATGGCTATCCGAGGGACCTGGAAAGGGAAGGAGGCGGGTGTGTGGGGTGAGCTACTTTTCATAGTGGGCCCCGCTGCACCTCTGTACAGCCTGATTTTCTGACCATGAAAGTAAAGCTTTTTTCCCCTTTTCTTCCTCCAGGCTACCTTCAGTAAGATTCCCATTGGATTTATCCCACTGGGCCAGACCAGTACTTTGAGTCATACCCTCTTTGCGGAAAGTGGAAACAAAGTCCAGTAGGTGGCCGATGTGGGGTGGGACACTGGGGGGGGGGGTTGGAATGGGAGGGTCATGCATGGCTGTCGTTTTCTTTGACTTCTGATGACTTTTCAAGCTTCAAATCCTTACAAGGTGGACCTAGATTAGCTTCCAGTTCAGTAGGAAGCATCCCTGCTGGCCTCTGGGCTTTGTGATCTAACGTGTGGGGCCCCCCAGTAGGCATGGAAGTGCTCTTGAGTCGGTAGTGAAGGCAGCACCCCTGCTCCAGGCTGGCCTTGTGCTTTAGGCTCTCTAGTGAGGACAGATCTGCACTGACGCTTGCTTGCTTGCTTGCTTGCTTGCTTGCTTCAAGTGTCTGTGATGACAGATAGCAAGTCCTCTGTGAAGTCTTGAGCCCGTAGCCTGGCTTTGTTCTCTTGGTGTTATGAGTAGCTAAAGTGACTAGACAGTCACCTCCTGGAAGTGCACGGCAGTCTGGGTTGCTGTAAGTCTTTGTTGAAAATGAAATGGGCTCAGTAGTCAGGAAAATTATTATCCTTTTTTTTTTTTGTCTTCAAAGTATGAGGTCAACAAAACTAGTCTTCAGAAGTTAAGATCTTGAATCTGCGTTCGACCTTTCCCCGTGATTAATAATATAATCTTGAGCAAATTGTTTTCAAGTGCTCACTGTCAGTTGCTGATCTTTAGTGTGAGCTCTGACACAGGAGGGCAAGTCAGTCAGTACATATTTCTTAAATGAGTTAATTAGCAGCTTCTCACAGCATTGCTGGATATAGCCAGCAGACCGAGTGCAATGGAGCAGTAAGTGATTTCTGTTTGGGTTTTTGATTGGGCTGAGTTTGTGGATTTATTTTTACTGTTGTAATTAAAGGAGTCAAGGTCTATCTTTGAATAGTTTGATATGGTCCATATGCCAAGCACCAGGTATAATCATAGACATATGTCAGGATTGTATTAAAATAGCTCATCTTTCAAACCTGAATCTCCTGGGGTGTGTTCAGCTTTTCACCAGTCATCCAGCAGCTTAACAGATAATGGCATTTCAGTTGCCATATATTGTAATCCTAGTTTAGAATTTTCTGAAAGAAAGAGATTTGATAGACTTTTGCTTGTCTGAGGCAAACCTATCTGGTGAAGTCTTGGTTATGGACTTTTCTCACATGTCACCTTAGATTATTTGAATGGCTTTGTTAACACCTCTGAATATGTGGGGGACCCGGGAGAAGGTTCTCCGGCTGCCCGGCAACGCCGATTTGCATGCAGAGCGGCACTGCTCCAGGCCTTGGGTGCCTCCGGGCCTGCGCAGCCCATTTGATCCTGTAGTTAAAGTCAAGCTGTTGCTGCTTCGATTTATCATTTAAAGATTTATAAAAATTAATTTACAAGCATGCCCCAGGGCTTGTAGGTAATTAAGTCTGCTCTGGCTTCAGAAGTTTGTCAACCTCTTACCATGGCAGATACCTAAGACTATGTGCAAGAACAAAGCTTTGATTTTTGCTCTGTGGTCAAGACTTGTGCTATAGTCACCACAGAAGAAAAGAATCTTGAATTTGGGATATTGCAGGGAAACAAGCCTAAAAAATAGCTGTTCCATGCTCTAGTGCTGCTTTATTTAGAGTTATTTGGAGAAAGATTAGTTTAAGGTTGCTTCTTAACTGTCTTCTGCCAGGCAATTAAAAATATATATATAAAAGCTTTTTCAGTTGCATCTTTTTTTTTAAAGGTCATTCTCTCCAAAGAACTTCCTAAATCTCTTTGATGTGCTAGATCCGACTCACAAGTGTGGTGCCTTTGGTTTCTTTCTAGTAGTTTCCTTCAGAATTAAACCTGAAATTCTGCTTCTTGGCCTCACTTAAATCTCATCTTAAAAACTCCTACCTGCTTCCTTGTATTGGAGGGGAAAAATGAGCCAAAAGCCATGTTGATAGAGACCTATGAGAAAGTAAACAGGCTTTTTTCTGTGCTTCAGCATGCTAACCAGGGAGCCCAGAATGTTGTAATCTAAGCATTTGAGTTAGTGTTTAGGGATTTTCAAGGCTCTTAGGCTGTGCCTAACTTTGTTAGAAACACCAGGTCGGTCGCTCTGATTGCTGAGTTAGGTGTCTTCATTGTAATAAATCTGATTATACTGGTCGGGAGGCCCAGAGCCACTGGTGTGGGGGGGGGGGGGGGGGGGGTTTGCCCCTGGGATCTGGCGGGTATCTGTTTTATGCATCCACAGCAGCCTCAACGGGTAAGGAGAACTCACCTTTGGAGTAAGACCGGAAGCCAGATTTTGTGTTTTGTGTAACCATGTGCTGGCTTTATTCTCTTAGGAATTTAATTTAATCTGAGTCTGTTTCACTCCTGTACTTACCAAATGTGCAGTAGTAGTACTTAACTTCAGCAGATGGTTAGGGAACTAAATGAAGACTAGTTAGGGAATGTGTAATTACACCTACGAATGACCCGATACATTGAAGACTGTATGTTTACCGAAAACTCATTTAGGGAGGAAGATGGTAAATAACAAATAGCCTGTACAGTACTGAGTGTTGAGTATAAGTACAATACTCATAAACAGGTGACCCTCTGTTCTGTTACTTCACCTAGAAAGCTGTGTTTAGGAAACAAAGAACATTTGATAGGTATCCTAGTCACTTATTATAGAGAGGTGACTTTTTTGACTAAGTTCACATTATTAGCCAGAAATGTACATAGCTGATTGGATAATTAAGGCCGTGTTGGGGGAGAAACTACCCTGGCTTGAGTTGAAGTTAACGTACAGTTGACTTTTGGGAGTAATGAACTGTGTAGAAAAGACCATGGCGGAACTTTCTGGTTGTTGTAAATGTTCTGTCTCTTGTCACGGTTAGGATCAGGTCTTGTGGTCACAACTCACTAAGGCATCTGTCATCATTCGGAGACTACCTACACGGGTGAGATTTAGTGTGTGTAAGTCATACCTGGAAAAACTTGATTTTAAAAAGGAAGTTAGAGTGGTAAACTAACTGTCCACCTTGGGTGATCCTGCCTGCATCAGTGAGCACTGGGGAGGCCTTGGTAGTCATGCTTCGATTCGGGTCACATGGACATGGACCCTCGGAGGCTGCTGTTTCTTGTGCTCCCTCTAATCATGCAGCCTCTCGTCCCCCACCGCTCAGCCCCCCCGTTGGTACTGTGACTATCAGTCTTGTTCATTCCTCTCGAAGAGCAAGTTAGCTCATTCTCTGGCCGCCTGTTGTTTCAGTATTTCTTTGGTTGACTGCTGTGCGTTTGTGTCACCTGACACCGGGTCCCGGTAAAGTGTGGACACTAGAGCTGCTCAGCCTGGCAGGCCCATACGCTAGTGTCGGCAGGACGTGCCTCTTCTGCTCGCACGCCCGTTCACTGTCGGTTGTAGACAGGAATAGTCTATAGCTTACAGTAATGCTGGGAAATAGGAGAATAATGTCTTGGGTCCTGGTTTTGCTAAGACAACAACAGCAAATCCTGTCTTTTAGTTACCCTTCAGGTTCTTGGAGTAAAAAAGAAAATTTGATTTTGAAGTACTTGAATTTCTTACAATGAATAAACATTATCCTATTCTTGAAGTGCCATCAATCTAGTCATAAGAATCAGGTACCTCTAGAGATTCACTACATGTCGAGTGGATAACGGGCCGGTGCCTTGTGTCAACTCTGACAGAGCCTTCTGCTTTTAGAACCTTCCACTGTATTCTCTCAGTAACCCACTTATACTCTGGCCTGCTCTCTTAGAGTGGTTGGAGGAATATCTCTCCTGATCCAGCTGTTGTACTCTGGGCAGGAATGGGGTGTGTATGAGAGAAAGAATGAGAGTGGGTGGGTGGTATGCTAATATGTGTGTGTGGGAGAGGGGGTGCTGCTTATTTTTCACATGTGATCGTTTCCTTCCTGCTGTTTTTCAGACACATTACAGATGCCACACTTGCCATTGTGAAAGGAGAAACAGTTCCACTTGATGTCTTGCAGATCAAGGTAAAGTCTTTAGATTTTGGAAAAAATACAAAGTGACTGTACATATGTATGTTAAGGAAAATAAAACGGACCAGTTCAGATAAGATTATAATGAAGAGAAAAATATCCCAAGAGAAAAATAATTTTACCTTTTTCTAGTCGATATTACTGATTAATAGACTTAGGCTTCTTAAAATTGTGGTTCAAAACACCTAACATATAAAACCTACCATCATTACCATTTTAAATGTACAGTTCAGTAACGGTAAGTAAGTGATACAGTTTTGTGATTAACCAGTCCTTGACCTTCTGTCGTAGCTTCTTTGTTTCTTATTAGAATTCCTTTATATCTCCGTATGTAGTTGATTATGAGCTTTATTTAGTTCCTCTGTTGATTGCCTTTGGGTCACATGTAATTTCTCTACCTCGTGTGACGGTTTTAAGTATTGAAAGAGCTAATGAATATAAAACACAGCTGTCTCCCGAGCTTTGCCAAGGGCAAATTCTTCTCGTATTCGGTCTCCCCAGTGCAGGGGCATGTCTTAGAATTCAACCCAAGAAAAATTTTATAAATTGCATGACCTTTTCTCACCTGAGTGTAGCGAGAATATTCCTTGTAGCTTCCTATATCCTGGATGGGAATAGAACTTCCCCTTAATGAATTTTCTTACCAACTTGTATATATATGCTCATGAATTATTTTTTGAAGTGTATTTGCTGACTGTGCCCACTAAAAAAACTTACAGCAATGATACCCATCAGCAGTGAGCATACTGGCCCCAGATTTTGGTCTCTAAGAACCACTGCCTAATAAAGGTTACCAAGACTCAGTAAAGAGATGGCTTTCTGAAGCAGGTCAGGAACAAGACAAGGCCATACTCCAAAACTGATGAAGAGGACAGCACAGTAAGGTATAGGCACCTGCCTGCTATATTCTGCTGGCTGGCTAATTATAGGACAGTTTTTACATCAAAGAGAACAGTAATGCGGCTAGATTATTGATTTACTTTCAATGCAGAATCTGTGAGTCCACAATGATAGTACAGAGGAATTACTGGCTTGTTCATGTAGAAGGAATGACAGAGAATTGTAGGTTGGACTCACCAATGAAATACTTCTGGCAGAGATCATCAATAGATGCTGAAACCACATGATAAAATGTGGTGGGGAAATGTATATCTACAGTCTTCAGGTCTATCACTAACTGTAATCACAGTTAGTGATTACAAAGGGAAAAGTATCCCTTTCTGGTACAGAAATCTAACATCACCAGGGATCAACCAGTTGATCAATCTAGATCAACCAAGTGTTCAAATCTTGGGTCACCATAGTGGGAAAGACAGTTACCACCTGCCTCCTGAGTGGTGAACATATGTCATCTACATAGCTTCCTGCCCAAACAGGAGCTAATCCAAATCTGACCAATTCCAGTAGGAGAAAGCATTCACATCCAAATGGTGCAATGTTCTAAATTGTTAGTGTCACAAAATCCAAAAAAGATTGTCTGTTCAAGGTGAGTGAACGCAAAAGAAATACATTAAATCCACTACAACAGTGACAAATATAAAACAGGGACAACCATAAAGTATACTGGAGCTATTAGAAATATTCTGACGTGGACTGTATATTAATATTGCATGTCAGCCTGGCTTTCTTCAGAATGACAGTGGTGCCGTAGTTTATCTGTGTTTGGTGTTGTTCTTAAGGGATGCGTGCTGAAATATTTATGGGCAAAGGGTTATGGAATATGCAACTCATTTGCAAATAGTTTAATAATACTTGAAACATACACACAGATAAATCTAATGAAGTCTTTGTAATTGGTGAATCTAGGTAATAACCACCAATAGTGCTCTTTAGACATTTAAAAATATTTTTGGTTTGACGTTTTTCCAAAATAAAAATTTGGCAGGGAAGACCCAACAGCTGTTCTGGATTTTTTATGAGGGCCCTTTTTCAAAAAAATTCCTAGGAAAAAATACTTTCACGTGGATAATCCATCATCTACAGCACCCCCCTCTGCACCCCCATCTGCCCCTTAGTGCATAGATTCCTGAGACTGAACCATAAGCTAAGCAACCCATTAATCAGGTGTGACCTTAAAAATTACCAGCTACATTCATGGTGTCCTCCAAAGATGACCACTTTGCTCTCATTTGAGTTTCCGGATACCTGTGAGGACATTCCACATTGGATTGTTTCTGATTTCCAGCCCCTACATGTCACCATTAGTTGCACGGCCTTTGCTTGAGGCACATGCACATTTGGGGGAGCCATGAGCTGTTCATGCGGCAATCGTAACTAAACTCGTTGGTCATGATAAAACTGATTTAAATTACAGTTGATTCTTAGGCATATGATAAAGCAAATCAGTCTCACAAAATGAAAGACCTGTGCTGAAAGAAATTCCAGCCACGTGAAAGCACTCCAGAGCTTCATCAATAGGGTATTATTTTTCAATATTACTATTACTCTGATGAGAATTGGGATATAATTCCCAATAAATGAGTGTTTCAGTGCTTCTTATATATGTGTTAGAAGTAATACACTCTGGAGAAATTCGAATTTAGCTGGAAATTCTTGACTTTGCTGGTATTTCAACATCGCCTTTCTCTTTTGTCTTGTTACTGTGAGCTTGTGCTTTGATGAAGCCAGTATCAAATTTACCACAGGCTTTCTATATTGATGGCACAGCCCGGGAAGCACAAAACTTTTAAAATCAATTCCTAGAAAACATAGTACAGCCACCTCTACTGTAATTTCTGAGGCTCCCAGCTAAGTTGAATCTGTCTTCTCTTTTACCCTTATTTCTAGAAATTGCTTTCAGAATGTGGGGAAAAACATTATAGGTGAAACCAGATTTCTCTTCTGAGAAACAAACCCAAATGCAATTGGATGTGTAACACAAGATTCTTCAAAGAAAAAAGAACCCATCCTTGGGAATAAATGCTTTATGCTTTAGCTTCTCACCCTTGCCTGTGCTTTCCCATCTATTCAGACTTGCCCCTCGGAGAGCGACACGTGTGCCCGTGTCGTCGGACACAGGTCATGTGCATGTGGCCACTGGCGCCGGCTCTGGAGGTCTCTGCTGTGTGCATTGCTTTTTCCACTTCGCTGGTCTCACTCTCGGCTCCAGCCTGTAGTTTTTTTTTTTTTTTTTTAAGGACCCATGTAGATATCTGTAATGCCGAGAACCGAGAACTTGACTTTAAATTTACTGCTGAAAAGTTACTTCACATTCTTTTTGCTCTTTCACTTAGACTCTTTGAGACTCTTGACGGCCCAGAACCAATTGTGAGGAAGACAGGAGAGTTTGGCAGTGGGGTGCCTTCCTCTGCCCTGTCTGTCATTCTTGGCTGATTCCTTGGCTTTTGCTCTTGGTACCTAGGCACAGATAATCCTCTTAGATCAAGTTTGCTTTCTTCTCTTCCCCTGTTTTCCATAAAATTCTTAGATTGGGAAGCTATCGAGTTCACGGGATTGTTTTCCCTTTGCTGTACATAAGCAGGCGCTCAGCCAGTGTGCAGGTTATTTCCCCCCTGCAGCAGTTGCCGCTACCCCCGTGGGGTGGTCTGGAACTGGGCAGCAGAGTGCATGGGTTCTTAGCTCTCGGGGCCGCTGCCCTTCTGTTCTGGCCGCCCCCTCAGGCCCATCTCATAATCCACCTGCCCACATACAGAGGTCCCTGACTGCGGGCTGCTCCTCGGTCCGTCTGCTGTGTCTTGCCATCGCTGGGCTCCCGATGCTCCACTGGAGACTGGTCCATCCATCACTGGCCTGCAGTCCTCTGAATCCTGAGGGCTCTGTGCCCATCTGGCTGTTCTTGGGCTTCTCTAGATGTGTGCATGTACATTATACCATGGCTGCGCCTTTCCTGGCATTCAAAACTATTCCTGGCCCTTGGTAAGCCATGGCACCCTGAATGAATGGAACCTTCAGATTGTAGAACTTTCCAGTCAATCATACCGGAATGTTCCTCGAATTTGCCCTCCACATGAGGAACGAGAACAGTCTCAGCTGCAGACAGGCGGTCCGAGCACTTATCCCAGCGCTTCTTGCTTGCACAGCTTGTTTAGAGCAGCATAACCCAGGAATGTAGTAATGGAGAAGGGCATCAAGCTTTCAGGAAGCTGTCCATTTCTGCCTCGGGAAATTTCTGATGGGCATGTGAAGTGTGTAAGAATCGTAGTGGGTATCACCACGTTACAGGTGCTTGGGGAGGACTAGCGTGAACGTGCTTCAAATCAATCAAGTTTGGTGTCTCGTAGGCTTAATTCGCCATGGGGTCACCTGTCATTATCGGCAAGCCTACCGAGAGCCCATGGGACTCTGGGGAAGCTGCTTCTGTAGGTACAGCCAGCTCAGAGTCCCTGCTCTGCCCTGGGTCACAGAGCCTGTTGTTCTCGTCTCTCCCTGCTCTCCACCTCTCCCCAACCTCCTCCAATCTAGATTCTTTAAATTTTAGTCTGCTTCCCTGATCCTCCCTCTCCGATGGTGCCTCCCTGCTCCAGACAGTCCCGCGACTGTGGGCTGCACAGCACCTGCTACAAGTACGCAGGTTCTGGTCTTGTGCCTGCTGCATGATGTTGGGCCTGTCAGTGTCTCTTTACCTCTCCCCTCCCCCACTCTGAGAGCTCTTGAGGCCAGATAATTGTTTAATCACTAGCCCCTAGTATATAACACATATTAATGAAAATTCTATGGAAAAGAAATGTATGAATCTATCAGGAGCCTGGTGTTTAAACTTACCACACTTGTTAAAACATTTTTGTTATGTAAAGGTGACTGTATTAATAATTTGAGACTTTATGTAGAAAGTGTTTAGATTGAATATTTTATTTAATTCTACGTGGTGGAATTAAGAGGGACATTCATAAGCATTAGTGGAGGTTAGACAAACAAGATAGCAAGAGAGGGCCTCCCTGGTGGCACAAGGGGTTGGATCTCAGCACTACAAAGCTATCTGCAGCACAAGTTCGATCCCTGGCCAGGGAGCCGGCCCAGATGGCCGGCTTCTGTCTCACCCTCCGCTCCCCTCAGAAGTATGTTTCAGTCAGTCTGCTTGTTCTGCTCCCCACTCTGTCGCCAGTGAACCCTCTCAGCCCCCACCCCTCAGACCTACACCCCAGCATAAATAAATCTTGGAAAAAAGAGGGAGCTAGCAAGAGTCTGTTGTCCTGGAGGAACATGGAAGCACTCAGTATTAGCTTGGAGAGCAGAAAGGCAAGGGGGAGAATGTGGGCATTTTGAGGGCAGGACGAGGCTCGCCTTTCCGGTGTGTCCTCAGCCCCTGCGCCATGCTGAACTCTGAGAAGGTCAGTAAATGTTTAGGGCGAAATGAGTGAAAATGTCTGTCTTCAGATAGCTGGTAGGTTGCCTCTGTCCTCAGAGTATGTCCAGAACCTAATCATGTTTTCTTCCAGCCTCTTTGTTCCCACCCTCATCTTGTGTCTCATAGCGGGAGCCCTCTTTCCTTGTCAGCTTGCGCCCCACATTCTCTTCTTCCCAAGACAGCCTTGATGGCTTTGAGGCGAGGTGTGTCCTATCTCTGCCCCAAGCTTTGCTTCTCTAATAACGGGTGGGGTCGCTGAGCAGTCCTCAAGGGGAGCCTCTCCAGCCTTTCCTGGATGCCTCCTTCACAGCGCGTGGGCCACTGCTTCAGTGCTGTCTTCCCTCACTTCCTCAACTCCGCATCACCTCCGAGTCCTGGGAGTACCTGTTCTTCTTCTGCTTCTCCCCACTGTCCCTAACTGTTGATAACACACTGAGAAGCCACTACCCAACTGGTAGTCGTGTCTTTCCTCTCTGGTCACTTGTGCTCTGCATGTCCCGTGTGGCTTTGGGCTGCCTCCCTGGGCTGCCTCCCTGGGTCTCTGTTTTCCTGATGTCAAAGTTGTGTTTTGGGCCCTCCTCTCCAGACTCCCCCAAGCTGCCAGGCTTCACTCCCTCTGTTCATTTGACTGCTATGGCAGTGGCGCGTTGGCCAGGCTTAGAGGGGGTTGTCACCAGGTAGCCATGTTCCAGAACGTCTACTCGGCTCCTGGCTGACACAGCTGCTGTGCCAGTGTGAGAGCCTCCCCGTCCGCCCCACTCTGTGTTCTCCTAGCTCCCATCCCCGGGCACAGCAGCGCAGAGGAGCAAAGCTGGAGCTTGAGCAGGCACGCAAGCAGGGAGGCAGAGGCCACGTCTGCGCTTGTGGGCTGCCCTCTTCTCGTGTGCTTCTCCCTGAAGCCCCCCGCTGGCTCTTGGTCTCAGACTGGGAAAGGAAGCAGGAGAGGGTCCGAACTGGGGTCGAGGGCAGTCTCCTGAGTGGAGACTTGGCCAGCTCTCTGTAGGTCAGCAACCTGGGGCTTCTCTCCAGACCCTAATCTGCTCCTCCTGGGCACAGTGATGGCATGGTGGGGATCCAGCTAGATCTGCACCCCAGTCTCTGGCAAATGGCAGCTTTCTGGAGAAAGGGTTCTTGGACTGAAGCTGCAATTCTGAGCTGTGGACAAAGCCTTGTCAGAATCCTGGTGCATGTTTGTACTTGGAGAACCGTCCCTCGTGGAGAACAAACTCTCAGGAGTAGCGGCCGTAGGGTGTGTGGTCTGTAGATTGCATAACTTACCATTAAAAACTCACTGATCGACATTTGTAGTACGTGGCCAGAAAGCACTGGACCAAACTGAACCATTTTATTCTGACTTGTTAGAAATACTTGATGATGTTTTCAGATGTTCCCGTGAAACATTCTTGAGTGCCAGGCTCCTGAGCTCGCCGAGAGCTCCTGGCCCTCTACAGAGAATGTAGCTAACTGCTCTTTGCCTTGAGCCCTGGAAGACACCCGGCTGGTCCAGCCAGCTGCTCAGCAGAGGGCCAGCAGCTCCGTATCCTCCGGTCACAGCCTGAAGCGTGCTCCTCAGCCGCTCCGCAGAGTCACGAGGCTTGGCCTGTGGACGTTACTTGCATCTCTCAGTGCAGCATATTTGAGCACTTTGATTCAGCACTCAGTTAATTCCTTACATTTTTAAACATGTAAAGAGTAGGAATGAACAGTGGCTGAGTACTTACCTGTAGAGAATTCAAAGTTGTTGTCATCATTAATTTAAATCAACTGTGTTTTAACTTCCAGGGAGAAAAGGAACAACCTGTGTTTGCACTGACTGGCCTGCGGTGGGGATCCTTCAGAGATGCTGGCGTCAGAGTTAGCAAGTAAACGGTTTTACTCTGTTTAAATCTCACCTGTCCCTGCCTTGAGGTTTCAACCTACAGAGACCTTCTCATGATAGATAGACCCTGCGGCCTGGAGGTTGAATGTAACAATAATGGAGGAAGATGTTTCTATCTTACATACACAAAGGTTGGGGGGCTTTCTGGTCTCCACACTGGCTGGGTGATAGGTACGGAGGAGTTGGTCTTTTATTTAGCCAAAGTGTTTGAGCAGAGCTTAGGGTCCAGCTAGACTGAAGAGAGTCTTAAATTGATGTCACCCCGCAGCCTGCCTAGCGGGTACTCAGTGAGAGACAGGTCTCCGTCTCATGGAGCATTCACAGTTCTGGTAAGGAGACCATGCCCCACCCCTGAGCTGCTTGAGAGACAGCAGCTCAGAGAAGAACGGGAGGAGGACAGGTCTGGCCCTGTTGTGAGGTGGGAGAAACCAGCCGTTGAGGTGGCTGAAGGGCCCCACTGACTTCTCATGGGAGTGGAGTTATTTTTGAAGAGTTCACTGTGTAAAATCAGAGTATTAATGTGTGGGGGAGGGGGTGCCATGCTCTGTTTGATATGGAAAGGGGGCATAATCAGAGGCTTCCTCTGAAGGAAACACCATGTAAAATTCACTTCATGTCGATAGGGGTTGCTTTTCCTTCAACTTCCTTAAGGCTGAGGTTCATGATTTTAGTGTGGTTTAAGTGATGCAATCGGTTTCACACACAGCTTTTATCAAGAAACCTGTTTCACTTCTGACTTTCCTCCCCGCTTGTTACAGAAACGTCTCACTTGTTCATGTTATTCCTGTTAACGCGCCTGACAGTGCACGGTCAAGGGAGCTTTGACTGTTAGATACACACTGAGCTTTTAAATATTTGACCTTTTTATTTGTAAGTATCACTGCAGTTAGGACCTTGATCCACAAGTCCCCTTGGTTTGGTCTGTAAGATCAGGTTCCAGTAGCTCCTGGAGGACCTGCTTCATGACCCTTGAAAGGCCGGTGAGAACAAGTGACTTGCCCAGATGTGCTAGCTGACAGTTAAGCCTAGAACAGGCTCAGGACTCACTCACACTCTTGCCCATAGTTTGACTTCTGAACAGCAAATTTGAAACTTCTGGTTGTTGTTATCTAGTTCTTCCACTAATCCTACCCATGAGTTGCTCTGTATGTTACTATCGATGATTCACTGTTGGACAGATGAAGGGCAACTATGAACTTAGAAATACTACAACCTTGGCGTGTTTGTCTCTATAGCAAACCAGGAAAAGAAGCAGATTTAATCAACATTAAAAAAAACTGATGATCCAGGCCCTTGTGGGGCAGGAACATGACACTTCTGCATTGCGTGTTGAGATAAAGCTGAACCCCCCCGTCCTTTCCTTCCGGGCCTGGTGCAGCCCACCGCTGCCTCGGCTAGATCCCGACTTCCAGGCGTCTGCATGCTTCTGACTGTGTCTCCACACCTGTGCCGCTGCTCTGGCCTCGATGGCTCCTTCCCCTCAGGGACCTGAGCCCAGCCCTCATTCAGGCTCTTGTCCTTCCTTTGCCTTGTGCCTGCCCGCTCCCACTGCAGCAGGAATGGCCACCCCAGGGTTTAGGCCTCCCGTAACCCAGCCCCTCTCGCCTCCCTTCACCAGTGGTGCTCTCCTTATACTGTGTCATAAGTAGAGTCAGTTGTTTTCTGCGACCTGTTTGGACCTTATTTCTTCAAATTACCAGCCCTTGAAGGCAGGGACTCGATGCGCCCATGTTTCTTGGGTCCCCTCTGTGTGCGCAGGAAGTGCTCAGTGCGTGCTGATTGGTTTCACGTCAGGAGCAGCTGAGATGGCTGGTGGGTGACGGGTGAGCTACACGGGAGCGCTCCGCCGCTTCTCTCATTCCACCGAGGCATCTCAGTTCTGCGGATTCAACACTATGAAGTAGACCCTCTTCACGCCCAGACTGAGCATTTTCCGTTTGCTGCGTCACATGAGTAATGAGAAATTATGCTGATTTACAAATTGTAATTGTATGTTTGTGTGGCAGGAACTTCAGGGTCAGGCCTGTAGCTCGTGCGTGACGGTCACGTCACCAGTGTCTGCATCTCAGTGTGGCTTTGTCATTTCCCACTCATTGCGCTTCTGAATGTAAAAGCCAGGTTCTGGCTTGGAAGTGTATATTATAGTGATACTTGTGAATTTAGAAATTCAAGGAGAGTGATTATATACCGCTTGTAAATTGCAAGGATCTATCCCATGGATAGCTAATTAGGGGCTGCTTGACATTGCATTGAAATGCAGATAAAAGTTTACAAGAATCTCCTAGTAGAAGTGCATTTCTAATGTGTGTCTGTCTTGAATGCTCTCTATCATGTTGATGGTCTTAATATTCTAATTAGATTTTCATCTTTGATCTTTCCCAGGTACTGGTATCTTGGACCTTTAAAAACTAAAGCAGCTCACTTTTTCAGTACTCTTAAGGTAAATACAATTTACAATGTAGAAATTTACCCAATCTACTTTGTTATTCCTTGATATGTATATTTGGATTATTTAATCATTCCTCATTATAGATGTATGTGACTAGCTTCACTTCAAAAATGGGGCAACTTTATCTAACTGTAGAAATCATGCATGCTGCTTTGATAAATAGACACCTTCATCTGCCAACTCATTCTCTCCATTACCAGACCCATTTTTCTCTTTAATATTCCACTTTCATTCACTCCCTCCTGCCAGACACACCTTGAAAGAATGACCTCTGTATCATCAATTATTAAATGTGTCTACATTAGCATCTGGAAATGAATTCAAGATTTGCATCTGAATATATCAAATCATGCAGGCACAGGTATTCTCTAGCAGATCTCAAACTGTGCCTGGCAAATGTATCCTTCTCTGTGGACCAGATGCTGTCTTCACTGTTTATATAAAGTCGGTTTGGCTGGCCAGTCTGAAAATTGAGAGGTGAAACAATTGCTGTTTAAATTATCGAGTATTTTTTTAATTATAAAAGTAACATGTCTTTTGGAAAACATAGTTCCCTTCCTCCAAATAAAACTTCAGTTTGATTGAAGAATTAAATGTAAAAATAAGCCACTAATATGCTAGATCAATCTACATGATTATTCAAATCAACTTGGGGAGGGCTAGTACTTTCTACAGCTGATTCAAACCTTACTAGTAAAATGCATTATTATTACTACTGCTCCATGAGGTGATTTCATCGGTGGGGTAATGCGTGCATTTAGAAGCAAGCACTTATGGTAATTTGTGGACTCTGAAGGGTATAAGCTGTCCCCATTGTTTCCTCAGCAAACAATTATTGACTGTCTGTAGTGTGGCAGCCTATGTCACTGGAATCAGAGTCAAATGGGACAGATTCCCTGCCCTCAGGACTGCTCACGCGGGCCGTGTGGGGTGCAGGGTGCCAGTGAATCGGCAAGCGCTACAGGAAGCCTGGGCAGGCGAGCGGGGCAGAGTTCCCAGGGAAGGTGACACTTTGATCAATTTTGAAGTAGGCAAATCTAGATAAAGGGAATCGGTGCGCTTAGAGAGAACGTATGAAGTCATGTGGAGGGTGGGACGGTGCAGGGATAGTGACTGTGGTCAGTACCGTCAAATGGCAGGAGGGTGGGGGTTAGAGAGGGCACTGGCAGATCTGACTTGCTTAATGAAAGCGCTTTAGTGGGGCAATGATATGGACGGATTGGCATTTTAAGAAAATTGTCGGGCAAAGACATCAGATGGAAGGTTGTTAGTCACCTGGTGGAGGTAACGAGGTATACACGCAAACAGTAACGGTGAGTATGACAAGGATGGACTGAAGAGATACTGAGGTAGAACCTCAGCAGTTGGAAGGAGAACACAGGATTCACACATAGCTGGTTTGAAGGACTAGACTTGGATAACTATAGCCTTTCATTAACGTTGATAATATTAGAGTAAAATCAAATCTGTGACCAAGATAACAATTTCAGCTGGGCAACGACTGAGTTTAATACACCTCTGGGGCAGACAGGAGGAGATGCGGCTGTGGTTTAGGTCTGGATTGAGCAGAGAGTTACATGCCTTACGGAAGTGGTGCTGAAACCATGGGGTTGATGAAGGTACAGTGAGACAAGGTAGCCAGAGACAGCCCCAAGGAACATAAACAGTCAGAAAAGAAACTGAGACAAGCTGAGAAAACCTAGGAGACTCTGGACTGGAAAATGGAAGCACATTCCAAGGAGGATTTCCAACAACATCAAAGAGTCCAAATACGGAAAGTGGTGTCCACTGACCTTGGCAACCTCTGAGGGTTGTCCCCTTCCTGGGGGAGGGGCTGAAGCAAGCCAGAGAATAAACAGGAGAGCAGGGTGACAGTGAGGGGAAGCCAGGCAGTCAGGAAGCTTCAGACTGAAGGGAAGGAGCCGGAAAAGGTGAAAAGCAGTGAGAAGGACGTGTCGCTGGAGTTTCTTGTTTTTCTCACCAGAGGAATAGTCGCCCACGTGAAGCAGAAGAAAAAAAGGATGGGAAGAGGTGAAGAGACAGTGTGGTGAGAGGGTGTGGGCTAGCTTTGGACAGGGATCCTTTTCCCTTGGGCCAGGAGAGCAGTAAAGGAAAGGCTCAGATGTACCAAATTCACGAGTTAAGGAAGTTCTTCAGTATGTCCTGATTGCTCTCGGTGGGAAGTAGGAAGCCACTGCACCTGTTAGAAATGAGGCCGCGAGGCCAGGGTCTCCCCAGTGGTCCTTCTGCACTCAGGGAGGAGTCGGGGAGTGAGAGTCAGCATCGTGACTCTTGCGACCACTATTCTGTGAGCAGTGTTACGGGCACCCAGGGCACTCCGGGAGAGTGGTGTGCCCGGAGACAGGCAGAGGACATGAAGGTGTCATAGGACGTCGATAGAGCCGCTGAGATAGAGTGGTTCTGGGGAGCAGTGAGGAGCAGGATGCGCCCACCGAAATGGGCAGCCGTGTGGAGGTGATGTCGAGGGCAGAGGCAAGGTGTCACTGAGTCACTCCTTGACTTTGCTGTGACTCCCCGGGACACTGAAAACCACAGGGTGAGAATGGCGAACCCCAGGCAGCACTGAGCTGAGGCTGCAAGGGACAAGGGCTGCCACAGCGCCCTGGCCTCTGCAGCGTGCGGCGCTCGTGAGTAGGTGCTGAGCGCAGTTTATCAGTTCCATCTCGTGTCACCCGCTGCGAGCCAAAGATACGCGGGTCGTGGGATGAGCCCACTTTGTTCCCTTTCTGTCCTCCGTTACGGGGACTGTTGGGGGCTGCAGCCGCTAAGCTCATGGCTTGCTGGAGAGGCGTTTAGTAAGAAAGGAGAAGTGGAGGATCTGTGCTCCAAACTAGAGATAACGCCAACAGGGAGGAGCGACCGGGCGCTTTCTAGGACTGAGGTGGATACTGAGTTTGCAGCGAGGAGCTCCCGAGTTAGGGGCCAGGCGTGCATGACCAGCTTTCTCGTCTCGCTGACAGGACTGGCCGCAGACGCACCAGGCCTCCATTTCGTACACGGGGCCTATGGAGAGACCCCCCAGCGGAGCAGCGGAGACCCCCCCGAGGCCCTCCCTGTACAGGAGGATCCTGCGCAGGCTTGCGTCCTACTGGGCCCAGCCCCAGGATGGTGAGCAGCGGGGACCCGGGACGGACAGCGTGCCCTCCCCCACAGTCTCAACTAGAGCGGGCGGCCTTTGAGGACACCGAGTTCAGGCCCGGCGCCCCTCAGACCAGCACAGGGGGCCCGGGAGCGGGGCAGCCCGTACGGCTCTGGCGCAGGGCTCCTGCTTTGTGTCTTGGACCTCGTGTGACTGGGGCGCTCCGGTGAGGCTGTCCCAGGCAGCGAGGTTCCATTTTGGGCCCGTGCTCTCCGTGCGTGTGGGCAGTAGGAACACAGCTCGGTGGCCCAGTCCAGAGGCGCTCAGGGGCCACTCTGAGCAGCTGGAGGCCGACCTCATGGCGTGAGGTGACCATGGGCAAGACTGACCTGCACCTCGTGCCTTCACACAGCCCTCTCCCAGAAGGTGAGGCCGGAGGACTGGAAGGAAGTGGAGCTGTCCACCATCGAACTGTCCATCACCACGCGGAACAGTCAGCTTGACCTAACGGTTAGTGTTCTCATTAGAAAAACGCTTGTGTCTGGGAAAAGGGACGCGGACTGCACACTTCCCCGCTGATTCACTGTTTTGTTTTCACCCTGTGGGGTAGGAAAGGATCAGCAAACGGGGCGCAGTGTGCCCTGAGGGGTGATAGCAATGAGAAGACAGAGTGGCCCGCGGCACCGGGCCCTGGTTCTGGGAGCTGTGGAGTAGCCGCCCCCACGGCCCTGCCCTCGGAAGTGAGGGCTTTAGAAGCAGGCACAGGCGGGACACATCGGGCACCTTTCCCTGAGTAATGTCCACTGTCCTGCGACAGCGTCAGGCATGTCACACAGCGTCTGCCCAGGGGAAACGTGTGTATCCGTGTGCATCGGCGCCTGTAGACCGAGAGCGACAGTCATTTTTGGCTCTGGGCTATTGACGTGCCCTGTCCACTGCCATCGCCACTGGTCACACCTGGCCGTTTTGATTTAAATCAACTAGAATGGAGTCAAAAACTCCTATCTTCGATCACATTGTGAGGGCAGTGGCCAGGTGGTCACAGCGTTGGCGGGCAGACACAAGTTCCCACTCTTGCCGCAGGCTCCACTGTGGCTGCTGCTCTAGACACACGGAAACCCAGCGAGCGGACCGTGGCACGCTGGGTGGCCCTTGCTTCTGTACATCCGCAGGCTGAGAGCTAACTTGCATTTTTAAGTGACTGGAAGAAAAACAACAGTAGACTAGCTTGTCCTCTGTGGAGCTCAAGTGCCAGTGTCCATAGCACAGTCGCCGTCCTCCCCTGTCCGCGCTGTGCCCAGGCCTCGGTGCAGGCAGGTTGCTTACGAAAAACCGTGTGGTCGGAAAGCCAGAATGGTACAGGAGAAACCGTAATAAACGACAGTGCCACAGGAAGTGTGTCCCTAACCGGCCACGCCCACGGGCTGGCGGCAGGGGCGGCTGGACTGGGATGTGGGGAGGGGAGCGCGGGGGAGGCTTGACCGCGACCCCGCTAGTAATACTCAGGGTGCTGAATCCCATTATTAATTCACGTCCATCTCATCCCTTGTGGATAGCACAGCTCCCTTCTGTTTAGTTACATTTGGATGAAACAGTTAAATGTAAATACATGAAGCCTCTGAAGCATGGCAGGGAAATCTGATCAGCAGTATGAGCGCGGACGGGACAGGCCTTTCTTAGCCCCGCAGCTGAGGTGAAAGTCATGTTGGTAGATTTGGCTACTTGTGCAGATTTTTAGTGACAAATTGGGAGAAATGTTAGGCCAGGAGTTAATAGCTTTCCTTTGTAAGGAACTTAGGGGTAAATCGTAAGAAATGGGCAGTGGGGTAATACACCTCAGGAAAGCGTTAGGGCTAGAAAATCACAAAGGAAATTAACATGAAAAATAAGATAGAAGTTTGCAGAGAATGAGCCGCAGGCGAGGCCCTGTCCTAAGGATTTTCTAGAATCTCACTTCCTACTACCGTTACTAGGAGATCAATAGAACTTCTGTCTGCATTTTCTAGGTAAGGAAACAAAAGCTTTCGCCATCAGAGAAACGCGAGTTAAAGCAGTGACTACCACATTGTCATATGTTCAGCAGTGCTGGTGGTGGCTTGGGGGGGAGTGCGCCCTTCCCCTTTGGGGATACAAGTCAGCACCCTTTCTCAGCGTGTCTCAGCGTTGTGTGTGAAGCGTCTGGAAAGTGAGCAGACTCCTGGCCCTACTCAGTATATTTCTGGGTATTTATTTATCTTAGACAAGTACATCAAGTAAGACAGTTGCTCCCTCCCTCCCATAATGGAATTCTGAAAACCCTGTGCAGTGAATACAGTAAGGTTAAAGAAAACACTGTTCAGAGGAATTTAAAGAGGTAAGATTTCTAATTATCCATCTTCTTTTACCCAGTAGCTGTTAGTAGGTGTTGCCTGCATTTAACCCTGTACTTGCTGTGATGATTGAAAACCAGCCAGTGGGCCGGACGCAGTGCGCGAGCGCTCGCAGGGCACCATGGCGCGTCCAGTGCCCGTGCTGTTCACCTCTCGGCCAGCTGCTTGTCTCCCGCAGCGGCACGTTCATTTGCTTTTCTCCACACCGTCTTGTAAAAACAAAAGCAGGTGCAATGCGATGTTCAAAGACAATGAAGCCGACCCCAGAAGCTCAGAATGGTCATTTAGCATCTAAGCACTCAGTGGGAGTCTCGGAAAGTAGCGTCTCCTGTACAGCCGTGTTCACTGTCTGCTAACAAAGTAGTGGAGGACACTGATCAGGGGACTGATGTAAATACACCTTGTATGTGAATTTAAAATCTTATCTATTGATATTGAAGGATGTTGCTAAATGTTAAATGAAAGACCAGGTTTAAATGACTTGTATCCACTGATCCCACTTTTATTTTAAAGATATATACTCCCACCTACAATTGGAATTTGCGAATGGTGGAGGCAGGCCCAGCTTTATCCTCTTCCCACACAGAAAGCCGGTGGTTGTCCAGGCACCTACTGAGTGAGCGCCCCGCCCCGCCCCGCGGGCAGCAGGCTCCCGGCACAGCCCACGGCCTGTGCGCGCCAGTGTTTCTCCTTACCCGCACGGGTACTGTACCGGGCCCAGTGGCATCTTAATGTAAAAGCAGAAACAAAAGGGCTGAAGGTGGCCGGGATTAAGTGGCTGGTAGTCCAGTGTACGGCATAATACAGCTTCAGAATACGGATCTGCGGGGCCCGGAGGGACAACAGGCCCCTCAGCCAAAAGCGGGAGCATTAACGTGCATCTTCCTAACCTTTTTAGAGCAAGGAAGACTTCATGAACATCTGCATCGAACCAGACACTGTCAGCAAAGGAGACTTTATAATGATAGGGTAAGTGCGCTGGCGTTTGTAGGAGCCATGTTCTCGTCCTTCTTTCCTCAATTTGACTTCCAAGCACTCTGAGGCCAGAGTGCCGCAGGGAGGCCTGCACCCCTTTATCTGTGCAGCGCCCCGCCTCCAGCCTATCCGTTAGTGGTGGGGAGAGCAGTGTGGAGAGCAGTGTCTGCCTTTCCATGCAATGAAAGCATTCACAGCATGCTGTAAGAATTTTGGCTTCAGGATCAAAATTCTGGATGAAAATCTTGATTCTATCACTTACTGACCTCATAACTTGGGCAAGTTCTTTAGTTGCCATTTCTGAACCCTTTTCCTTGGCATTATCTCCTCTACCAGGATTTTGAGTGTGAAATGAGGTTGCGTGGGAAAAGCCTTTGTATAATGCGATGCACTGCACAGTATGTGTTCATGTCAGTCACCTCGTCCAGTTCCCAAGGAGTCCGTTAAAAACCTAAAACATTATTGAGAATCTTGGACGTTTTCCAGGCCTTCCAAGCCCCTTCAGTGAGCAAGCATCCTGCCAAGCCCCCATTGGGTCAGCCTCACCTGGCCAGCGTTTGATTGGTTCAGAGGCTTGTGATCCTCCGCAGCCTCGGAGCCTCTGCGGCGTGTTGCCATGTCAACCGGAAGCCTGGGCGCTCGCGCTGTGTCCGGAGCGCCCCCTGGCGCCCAGGGACAGATCCAGCATCTGTGGTAGCGCCCGGTCTCCTTGGCAACTGAGTCACTGGCACAGCAGCAAAAGGTCTTCGCTTAGTTTGTGTGGTTCTCGCTTTCCGTACGGGCTCCTCAGAAGCGGAGAGAGGACTCTGGCCTTTGATTGACGGGCTATAGCTGTAGTCCAGGGAAGGAGGGAAAAGCCACGCCCTTCAGCTCTTAACAGCGTGGGTGACTGTACCCTGGACTAGCTAAATTTGAGTCTCATTCATAATATGGACAGCCAGAAGAAACTCAGTCACACTGCGGAAGGTGGGGGCCACTGAAATTGCCAGTGGCCGCTTCCTCTTCCTGTAGGAAGCAGCTCTGGGAACAGCGGTTCCCAGGGTGTCTGCAGACACGCGAGCTGCCCTAGAACAGGGTGTGAGCTTCATTTACCAGAGAATTACTGTTGGCAAGTAATGATAAAGGAGTTAATTTTCCTCCTACACAGCCATGACTAGAGCTGGAACAGGTATATAGGCGTGGAAGGGGGGGTTGCTAGTTTTTATTTAAAGAAATTTTTAAAGAAAATCCAGATAGGTCTTTCCCACTTGCCTGTACATTTTGAAAATGTTAAATGCTTTTTGTCCATTTAGTCAAACTGCCTCCAAGTACCAGTACAAAAGTTGACTGTGTTCGTTCCCCAAAAATTTAATTTCATTCTGATGTTTAAATTTAGGATATTTAACAGCCCAAGAGCTAGGTACATATGGAACTACTTACAGATAAAAAGACTGCAGAGTCACTGCACAGCACAGAAGCTCGCTCAGGAACATGCCACTGTGCCTGAGTCGCGGTGTGCGGGTGACTCGCACCACGGTGCCGCCTGGTCCGCGGGTCAAACGTGGAGGAGCCCGCTGACCGACAGGCTGGGGCGCTGTCAGCACCGGTTTCCAAACTCGCCTTTCCCTTGTGCCCACAGAAGTAAGAAGGTGAGAGACCCCGAGCTGCACGCCGCAGGCGCAGAGTGTCTCCACGCCAGCCAGTGCACACTGCTGCTTCCTGAGGTGAGCCAGCACTGCGCCTGCCCCCCAGCCCCCAAGATGCCAGGTCTGGGGTTACAGAGGGAGGCAGGAGATGACAGGATCGCTTCTCAGAAGGCTTCGGGTCTAGGGCCGTGGTACCCAGTAAGGGATCATTAGGTTTCGCTCACATGAGAGCTTTGGTTTCCCCTCGTGAAAATTATGCAAAGGGCGGCGACTTATAACAGAATCCTCTACTTGGCAAATGCTTTTGACCCACCATTTTCTTTTTTGAGGTAACGTTGGTTACTGATTTAGGGGTCCATGTTAACATACTGCTAAAGCATCCATCATCCCCCCAAGCGCCCTCCTGCAGCGGGTTGCTGGGGTTTGTTTTGGTTTACTGTTTTCTGCTGTATTTTTGCTTCTTTCAACTCCAGCATGCGTGGAGCCTGCTGGTATTTGTCTCTCCTCCTGACTTTCTGTGCATGGCGTAGTCCCCTGGAGCCCCACCCGAGCTGTTGGAGTTGGTGGAGTTCATCTGCGTAGCATCCCGCTGTGCCTGTACGCCAGCCGTACTCTGCCCCGGCTCTGGGCCCTTGGCTTGCTCCGGTGCAGGCCGTACTGCTCTGGCCGGGCGCGGGCATTCCTCCGCGTCTGTGTGCTGAGGGTGGGAAGGCCGGAGCCGTGGGATATCCAGTGTAGTGGTTTGTGGCACCTTCGCCCCAGTTTCCGTAGGAGCTGGATTCATCTGCACCCCCCAACCGTTTAAGAGGCCCCTTTTCTCTCACCGTGCGGCGGCTCCTCGATTCCCTGCTGCGTGGCGCTGCGGCCCCCCTGAGCTCTCGTGCCCCTTGCAGCGGGGCGCTGGTTTCCGGTGTGCGTTCTGTGCAGCTCCCAGGTAGCACATCACGTGGGCTATCTCACCCTTCACAGTGCAGGCGCTGGCTTTTTTTTTAATTTATGCACACAAGAGCTGGGGTGCAAGCCAGAGGCGTGAGGGGTAAGAGATCTCAACAGAGACAGAGTGGGGAGCAGCGGGGAGCCCAGAGAGGTCTGCTGCGCCATATGGGTCAGCTCCCTGGCCGGGGGTCGAGCTCAGGCCACAGCGGCTGGCACATGCTTCATAGCACTGAGACGTTAGCCCCGGGACACAGGGAGGCCCCAGCGCAGGAGCTGCTTCGTTCGAGGTAGTCCACGTGTTTGTCCTAAGACAGGTGTTCATAGTGAAATTTGCCTTCACTTTTTATGAAGGTGTTTTCAGGATGGCACTAGGTTTTCTGTACTACAAAATGCCAAGCTGAATACAACACCCTATGTGAGTGGAAAGGGCGTACCAATGGCGCCTGCAGCCCGGTGGCCATTACACTGTGAGGAGGACTGCAGGTATGACAGACGCCTCCACATCACATGCTGCTGATGGGGGGTAGAAGGCCAGCGACGTGCCGCGCCGGCCTTTGTCTCTGTTCCCTCGAGAAAGGGCAGGGCTGGCAAGGCCGCGTAACATTGTGTCTGCCCTTTGGAAAAACGGCAGGCTCCCCGTCTTAACTATTTGGAAATTACCACCTTGCTGTTCAAAGGCAAAAAAATTAAAAGCTTTTTCACGGCTGGTCCACTGGGCTGCTCAGAGCAGCGGCGAGGACCCCTGCGGCGGCTGCCTGAGCCCCTCCCCTCCGCAGGGCACCGAGGGCTCCTTCAGCATCGACAGCGAGGAGTACGAAGCGATGGCCGTGGAGGTGAGGCTGCTCCCGCGGAAGCTGCAGTTCTTCTGTGACCCGAGGAAGAGAGCACAGCTGCTGCAGCCTCCAGCCCCGTGAGCGGCCCCGCCTGCACTTTATCTGCTCCCGCGGGACACGGGGACCGAGGCTGCCTCCCCCGGGGCAGCACCCCACAGCCCTTGTCCCTGCCTGCTTGGGTCTCCGCCAGCCTAGGCCGCGCAGGGAGGGCCTGCCACCTCGGGAGCTCTTTCCTGCCTTTCTGTCCTCCCTTCGAACCGTCAGTGCGACGCTGTCCCGTCAGCTGTGGCGGAAGTGCTGTATGGAGATCTGTGCTTCCTCACGGCGGTGCGTGTTCAGCCGAAGCACCTGGGGTCCAACCAGGGTTGGAGCTCGGCAAGCTGCATCCGAACAAGGAAGCACCGTCTCTCCCCGAGTCTCCACCCTCTCTGGACAGACAGCACCCGCAGTCCATACAGGGCCCGGGGACAGTGGGAAAGTGCTTTGAAGACTCAAGTGCCCCGCCCCCACCCCGTGTGAGCTGCATCTAACATTTTCAGTGGGAAGGAAGAGTTGCCGAAGTACGTACTTTCTGGTGTCGTGTAAATATTGGTGTTTTAAAATAAAACTGTTACATCGTTCCTTTAAACATATTCAGTGTCATTTAAAGACATAACAATTTGATGCTCATCATCCCTCTGCAAAACTAAATTAGTCGTTGGAAATTTTAAATTAAGTCTCCGGACCACTTGCAGCAGGGAACGCGGCTGCTGTGATCTATTTTTATCACGCGACCATCTTCCGACAGAACGTGGAAGTGGAAATAGTTAACTTGGTTCAGAAAGTGCCGTAATCACACGGCGTTGACAGCTCGGAGGGACGGAAAGAGCTGTCACCACGCTGTGGCCTGGACCTCGTGGTCCTTCAGAGCTGCCCGGGACAGCGGTGGCAGTCGCTACCTCGGCAACTTCACTCTGCTTCCGTTGGTTTGGTGGGAGCGGAGAACTCAGCTGCTGGGTTGTTAGTGTTTATAGACGGGCAGGACCGCGAGCAGCTGGGCTTACCCGTCCGGCGCGGAGTCCCTCCGGCCCACGGGCCGTGCTGTGCGGTGCGTGTCCCCCGCGCGGGGCGGCCGAGGTCGTCGGGTTTGCAGGTGAGCCCAGAATCCGGGCCTGTAGGAGCACGTGCCGGGCCCGGCGGAATCGGGCTCCTTCCTAAGAAGCTTCGTGTGGGCCGTGCACCTGCAGTGACTCTTACTCATTTTTAAATGTAAAAATGCCCGGTTCAGCCTATTTCCTGGGAGAAAGTGCTCATTACCTTACCCTTTCCGTTGCGTTCCACAGAAAAGACATTTGACTGTACAACTCTGACGATCCCAAGGAGACGGACTCACCCTCCTGTCTAGGCTGAGCCTTTGTCGAGCCAGTGTCACTGGGCAGCCAGGCCTGCTACTAGAGACGAGCTTCCGGCAGCCCGCTCCCAGCCTGACCGCGACTGCTGCTCCCCAGGGCGCGCTCCACACGCAGCAGGCTCCGTGGTCACATGCTTGGAGAGCAGGAACCTGGCTCTGACCAGAGCTACTGATATTTTAAGGCAACACTGAGTCTGTAGTTAAAAGTGAAGCGAAATTTAAGTGTGTGTCGCACACAAACATCCTGATTGTAGACAGAACATTTTCAAATTAACTTTGATTGGGGGAGGCCCTGTGACCGAAGGCCTTCATTCTTTTTTCTTTTTGGGGTGCCCCCGCTGGGCCGGAGCACCACCAGACTTTGGTCTCCATTACCTGGGTGATCCGGACAGGGCGCGGCTCCCTGCATCCCGCTCCTGTCTGAAGCGCGGCGGCTCAGCACCCCCCCCCTGCCCCCCCAGACCAGGCCTGAGCCGGGAAGGACGCAGCGCACGCTCTCGTGTAACGTTCAGCTTTAATTGTAAAAACCATTTTCTGTAAATATAGTTATATCAACCTCGGCACACAGCTTGGTTCAGATATACACAGGTGTGTGGGGGCACAGAGTCAGGGCGAGAAACTGGCTCAGCCTCGGGGCCAGCCGCTGGAGGGTCACAGAACCGGAACATGGCTACGTACGCGGCGGGGTGACTGATAAGCTGCCTGGTCTCGCGGTATGGGCTGAACCCCTGGAACAGGTCCCGTTCTCCCTGCCTGACTCTTAGGGCGGGGCACTGGGGGGGTGGGAGGGGGCTCGGCTGTCCTGACCCCCCCAAGAAAACAGGAAAGCCATCTACCGAGGCTGCAACTACTTCCCAGCCTTAGAAAGTTCAGCCAACAAGCCCAGGGTGAAGGAGGTTACCCTGTTTTCCTCTGCACCCTATGTCTCCTGCTCTGTTCGGGAGCCCAGCACCCAGCCCTGCCCTCAGCCCCCCACAGTGGCTGCCGCCTCCAGCACCGTCGTCTCTCCTCTTTGTCTGATTTGGCTGAAGGACATTTTCACTTTAGGTCAATTAAACTCACCAGCGCTCAGCTCAGCCAACTCCGTGACCTCTGTCCATTTTTCACCTGTGGCCACCGGCTGATCACCATGCCCTGCCCCCACCCTTCAGCCGTCCTTGGAAAGCAAAGTCAGTCTGTTACTCATCTAAATGGGCTTCTACAGCAAACAAGGAATTCACCCCCCCATGGTGATAAATAACCTTCTGCTTTAATTCGAATAAGCCCAATCGAATAAGCTTCTGGAATAAAACTAACACGGCAAAGCAGAGCTGTATTTCACCATCATTTCTCTCTATAGCACTAGGAGTTTCTCTTCATTTCATCTAACTGCCCCCATCTTTAAGCTCCCAAAGCAGTTAAAGTGCCAGTTAGAAAACTACCTCCCACTCCCCCCCAGGCCAGCGGCCTGACAGGCAGCATCGTCACCCCCTTTCGTACACGAGTTTCACTCACGGTTGGGGGAGCGCACACCCCCTCCCTCGAGTGTCGACTGGAGAGCCCTCACAGGCCACAGCACAGTCGCCGAACACTTAAAATTTCTGCCGGGGTTTCAGCGGCTTTAACTGACAGGACCACCCGTTTCTTCTAGGATTATCATTTTGGAGTTTCTTTCCACATCAACATCTGCATGTTCAATCCACCACATAGAAATAGCAATATAAAAATAAACTTCCATTTCTTGTAAGCATTAACTGAATTCATTCACAGTTAGCATTTCCCACACCTGTCACGTTCCAGTAGCTCCTGGGAACAGAGGTATGTCAGTAATAAAAAGGGAATAGTAATAAAAACTCCACGGCCCGGGCGTAAAAGGACCCAGGCTCCTTGTCTCCCTGCAGTGAGCAGGGACTGAGTGCGTGTCCAGGACCCTCCCTGCGGCCCCTCAGTTATAGCCGACATGCGCAGGGGAGACAGGAGGCCTGAGCCCACGAGTGAGAACCCTAAAAGGGCAAAGAAGCCCACATGTGACACATTGGTCCCCAGCTTAACTTTGTCTGTTAGCCATCATTGCGCTGAGGCAATTCACTGTCCAGCCAAAAACATGGCCTGGGGCCCCTCCCCACCGCGCAGGGACCACCTCTTCTGGGAGGTCCAAGCCTCAGTCCATTCCCGGGCCTCACAGTTGCACTCAGTAAAACAATAACAGCAAAAACCGGTCCCCGCGGTTACGGTCTCTTCCTGGAGTTGATGTAGGACCATGAAAAGGTTAATTCATCACTGCCCTTCACAAGGCGCCCCAGAGCCCTCTGCTTCAAGGTGAATAATCTCATCGTTTCATTTTATTTGAAGCGGGCTCGGCGCACAGAGACACACAGCAGGTTCGTCCTCACAACTACCAGGACCAAAGCAGGGCCTCGGCTGTGATTAATCTTTCCCTTCACCTCCTGACTACAATGCCGCTGGCAGTTCCAGGGAGACAGGACATCTCCACGTGCGGTGCTCAGTCACCTGCACCTGGGCTACGCTGAATTTCCATCTGGAAGTTCATGTGGAACAACACGAGCTGAATCACAGCTGCCAGCCCCTGTGTGGGATGGTTTCTATCACTAGACCCAGGAACTCAGCCTCCTTGCCCGAGCCAGTGGTGACGACCACGGGAGCCCAGTGCCTTCGTTCACTGTGATCGAGTGTCCCGAGGACCCTGCAGGCCCAGGCGGACAGGCGTCCGGTGGGTGGACACTGGCCTAACGTGCTTCGGGCTGCACCAAGGCCCAAGTGACTTCTCAACAAGCCACCGGGCTTGGGCTTTCTCACGTGGGAGATGAGGCCTCCTGGTGCCGACTCCTTGCAGAGAAGGAACACGCTCGGACACCTGCCAAGGCTGACCCCCCCCCCCCCTGCGCAGCCTGCAGAAGGGAAAAATCTGCCCTCACAGCCTTTTCTCATGCTAGTGGACATCAGCAGGCCTCAAGTCTTGAGTCCAAACCCCACGAGGAGCCTGGAACCCCTCCGAAACAGATCGGGTGGTGGGGTACCAGGGCCTCCGCTCGGCAATATCGCACACGCACACAGCAGGGCATTCGGCCAGACTCAAGGCTCCAGGGGACCCTGGTGGCTGAGGTCTGACAGTGAGGCCTCAGCAAGTCAGATTCCAGCCTCTGAAGTCCGCCATGGTAACCGCCCGGTCCCACAGGGCGTGGGGCCTGGAGGCGGGAAGGGCCATCGCCAGCCATGTCTCAACAGCGACCAAAAACAGCTTCAGTGTCACTCGGGGGCCCCTCCTGGACCTCACGAGCGAATCTCCCTTTTACAGTACTGGCAGCACGTGATGCTGGGTTGTACCTGCTCACTTGAGATTTGAGAGGGGAGTCAGAGTCAGGTACAAACAAGCCTTCCTCAGGGAGGCTGAACAGGGAACACGGCTGCAGCACTGAGGGGCGCCCCATTCAGCCAAGCAAACTGACTCTGAGAAAGCTGGCACCGTAAGAAACGGATTCCGGGGGTTCCCTCTTGAGAGGCATACAGGGACAAGGGTCAGCTGAGCCCAGGCTCCTGACGTAAGATGAGGCAACGCCTGGAAGCCCCCAGGCCCCAGCCTCTGCTGGGGGTGCGCACGGAGGTGGCAGACAGCTTAGAACACCACCAGGGGCCCGAGTGGCGCCCAGAGCCCTGACTGCCACCGCAGGAACACGGGAACCTCACTGTCACCCCACTGCCTTCACAGCCGCACTTTCAGACCCACAAACAGCATCCCCCACACCTACGGGGTCCTTCTGCCAGAGCCCCCCACGCACACAGCGTCTGCCTTCGTCCTCCAGAAAACCTGGCTTTCCTGGCGCCCCTGCCCGTGTCTGACCACGACCCCTCGGCCACCACGAAAGTAGCCCCTCCTTGACCACACTGAAGGCGCCCCTCCTCGACAGGCTAGGGACGTGCTCTCCCGGGAAAAGAGGCGGCGAAACTTAATTTCTAAACGATTTTTTTTCTTTTGTAAACACCTATCACTGAAATGGCTAAGCCCACACCGCAGAGGAGAAACGAGTTAGTTGTACAGTGTACATTTCAATGCCCAAACTTATTTATATATTTACATAAAGACGCCGCTTTGATGACTCACTGTCTGCCTGCATTCCTTTTGTCATGGGCTTTGAAAATGCTTTCAGATATGTCAGCGAGCCCTCAGAGGCCCATCTCAAGCTGAGACGTGGCCTGTTCACGCGAAAGCGCTCTCTCTGCTGTGCACACCATCAGCCTGGCTGGACGCACGGAGGGTCGGCGTAACTACAGAGGGTCGCCCACCCGGGAGAGTGAAGGGAAGACACCCTGGTCACCAACAGCCAGTATCCCGAGTCACAGTCCTGAACCATGGCCCAGAAGACGGAAACCCTGCTCACAGCCCTGGCGTCCAGTGGCTGACAACAGCTGTCTCTCGGGAGCGCACCCGCCCTCCACGCCCCCAACACCCGGCCAGAGAGAACAGCAGAGCTGCCCAGGCAGGACGTTTGAGAGGCAGGCCAGCTCGTCACGGACACGCTCTGGGGGAAGGCACTGTCAAGGGCGCTCGGCAGCCCCCCCACGCCATCCGCGGCCCCAGCCGCTCGAAGGTGGTCTCTGCTGCAGACCGGCTGTGACGGCCAAGCTGGCCGCCAGGCTCCGAGCTAACCAGCCGGGCCGTGCTCCCGTATGAAAGCCCCGTGAACCTGTTTAGATCTAGAGGCTCCGCGACACCCGTCCAGGTGAAGCAGCCCAAACGTCCGTCCTCTACCCAGCTGGCCTCGCCGGCGCGAACAGATGCCAGCCTGCAGGGACGCCCCGTTCCTCCCCGAGGGCCGTTAGCCCTGGGAGGACACTAAGCGAGGCCGAGCATCTGCGGGCAAGTTCTGGGGCTGCTGCTGGCCCGTAGGAGCCCGTCAGCCCATTCCACGAGGAGGGGTTCAGAGAAAGGGGGTGTCACATCGGGGCCACAGTGCCTGACTTGGGGGAAAGTTTCTAGAACTCACACTACAATTTTAATTTTCAGTTGACTGAGAAGCGGCTTCTGCCCTCAGAGAAGCTAGTACTTAGCTAAGGAAAGATTCTGCACTTCTGAGTCAGAGGCACCTTCTGGTCCCCTGTGAGTTGACGGGAGTGACAAGAGAAGACATAGAATTGCCCGATAAACAAGAAAAGGGATCCGACCCCCAGGCTAGGCTCCCAGGACTGACGGGAACGCGGGGCGTGCCCCTCTGACGTCGGCCGTGGGGCAGATGACCTCGGGTGAGGCCACGCTGGCGAGTCTCACGCTGAAGGGGGGCAGGCTTCCCGCGGAGGCCTCCCCGCGTCTCTGGAGCTCGGCTGCTGCTGGTGATGTCTGGCCCCGGCCGCCTCTCAGCCAGGGGCGAGGGGACCCCCTTCCGGAACCCGAAGACCACCCCAGGCGGTCGCTGTGGGAAGGGGCAGTTCCAGCGTCCTGCCACAGCAGGGCTGGGATCCGGGGTGGCCCCACCTCACCTCTAGGGAGGGGAGGAAGGAGACTGCAAAACGTACATGTTCTGGGAAGCATAAACCATATTCCTTCATGTTGACAGTGAAAACGAGCCCTCCGGGCCGGGGAGAACCTGTGTGCCACTCCGGCGAGGCTGCCCTTACGTGCAGCAGGGGTTGTCGACGACCAGCATGATGTCCAGGCCGTAGGCCTCCAGCAAGTCCAGGAGGAAGCCGCGGTCCCCCTGGGGGTCGAGGCCCATGCCGCGTGCATGCTCCGCTGTCAGGGTTTTGTCTTGGCTGGCCGACACTTCCAGCAGGGTCTGAAATATCCGGTTGTTTTGCTCTAGGAAAAACCTGCATTTGCAAGACAGGACACAGGAAAGGGGCGGAAAAGACAAAGTAGCTCTCAGCACACCGTCCCGCGTGGCCCCGAGCCCCACTGTTCTCTTAACGTGCGTTTTAGGGTTCCAAAGCTCAGAAGCACTCTTTAAAAAAGAAAACCGTGAAGTGAAAGGGTGGCTCGAGCGTGCTCAGCACTGGAGGGACACCACAGGTGTCTTACTGGTGAGCAAGACGGAGCAAGCCAGGGCTGGCTGATGGGGAGCCGCTGGGCTTGAACAGCCTCAGGGCGAGGCCCCCAGAGCCCCGTCGCTCACGCTCTGCTCCGTCAGGGGGAAGAGAATACTCAGCCCAAGCACCACACTTCTGAGGTCAGCACTGAAGCGACCCGGCACCAGCATCGCCCCGAGACCGCTTCTCACGGCAGCTCCGCCCACCCACACCCGCATCGTGCCCCGGCCACGGGGTCCCAGCCTGCTGCTGTGGGTGAAGTCGGTGTGAGCGGCCGGCGAGGCTGAGGGAGTGCTCCCGTCAGGACCAGTCACTGCTCTGTTCAAAGGAACAGAATGCTGCCCCTGAATCCTGAGGGGTGGCAGAGCTCTGGAGCTGAACACCCAGCAGCAAGAAAACACCCCCCCTTGCCTCTTTCCCAACCCCTTGGGGACCCGGCGCACACCCCCACGCAGCTCTGGGCCGGCCTGCCGGAGTCCACCTCTCAGGTCCTGGCCGGCATCCGGGTGACCCGGGACCCTTGGCGGGGCCCCAGCCACTGCCCTGGGCAGACTTACAGCACGAACAGGTCCTCCTCGCACGGGTTGTAGTCTTCCCCCACCTCCTGGGAGTACAGCAGCATCTGCCTGTGAGGAGGAGAGCGCAAAGTCCGGCTAGGGCAGCCCTCTGCGAGGCCACCACCGCCCAGCAAGGGGTGACCACAGCAGACGCCCAGTCCAGAGGCGGAAGAGCCAGGAAAGGAATAAGCAGTCTGGACTCAAACCCCCAGGGCCAGGCCTCTTCCGCCCCGTGCAGCCTCGGGCAGGTGACACTCCTTCCTGAGTGCCCATGAACAGGGACGGCAGTGACCCCAGGGTCTCAGCGCTGCCCCCGGAGTCTCAGGATAACCAGGAGCGAGTGAAGGAGATGGCGCCTAAGCCAGCACGAACACCGGCACCCACACCGTGGCGCCTGGTTAATGCTCGTTCCCCCTTGGGCCTCAGATCCCATGGGCCTGGACAGAGAAGCACCTGCAGACTCGCGCGGCCTCTCGGCAGGGCAGCGAGCTGGCAGCGGCTTCGACGTGGGCCTGCCTTCACTTCCGCGCCCACACAGCGTGATCCCATGAGGGAGAACACCGCACCCCACCCCGGCCTGCCCCGAGGGCAGTGTCCCGGGGCGCCCCACACGCGGCCCGCCCCCCACCTCTGCTCATTGAGCCGCCGGTACTTCTCCCTGTCGGCGCTGTTGAGCTTCAGCAGGGGCTGCAGGTGGTCGTGGTGCGTTTTCACGTTCTGGTTGTCCACGTAGACATCGTATAGTTCCCGCTTCTCCTCGAAAATCTTCTCTGTGGTGCCTGGGAGGCCCAAGGTTCAGGGCAGACCCTAAAGGTGCCAACCTGACCCCACCCAGTACCCCAGGGCTGGGAACCTGAGAACCCCCCTCCAAGAGTGGGCAGGAGCTGTCCGTGGTGCTTACGGAAGGGGGCAGCAGGTGGGGAGGGCCCCTTACTCACAGGCCACGTAGGACACCTCCACCTCCAGGCTCTCGATGTCTGCCACGTTCACGTAGAAGAACGGCTTGGACTCGGGGATGGTCCCCCCAATGCCGGGCAGGGACACGTTGGCCAGGCAGCAGCAGCAGTACACTGTGGCAGAAGGCTGAGTGGAGAAACGTCCACCCCACCCGCCTGCCTCCCCAAGCCCGCTGGCCACCGCCGCAGAACAGCAGCCCCCGAGGATGCTGTGGGGTCTCTGGAGCTGAGGCCAGGGGCTCCTGGGGTGCTGAGGACTGGGGTACGGTAGGAGGCCGAGCTGTTTGGGCCCCTTACTTAACCTGATGTAGCCGGTGTGTGAGAGCTAGGTGCTCACAGCACATCCTGGTCTCCTTAGGCCTCGTGGGCTCCAGAGGCCGTGAGAAAGACCCCCCTCAGGCACCCCACCAGCTGCAACAGGGAGAGCCTCATTTCCTCAAGGTCGCACCTGCCATGTGATCACACCAAATGCAACAGACGCACCTGTCTGGTCTTGTTTAGAGAATCTGGCGCTGGTGGTCTCCCCCTTCCCAGAGCCCCCCATGTCTGGGGCCTGCTCCTCCCCCCTTCCGCTCCCCCTCCCTGCCGCTGCCACTCTCCCCCGTTCATCGCCTCCGCGCCAGCCCCGGCCCCTCCGCACAGACCCTCCCCAGGGACGCATGGGCAGGAGCGCACCCCGGCCGTCTCGGTCTCGTCTCTGCTCCAGCCCAAGGTCCACTCCTGCCTGTGGCATCAAGGCCTCCCAGGCGGCGTGCCCAGGCCCGTCCCCTGCCTGCTGGGGCCGCCATCCTCATCACCTCAGCTCTCCCTCCGACAGCCTCACACAGGACAGAGCCTGCGACCCTGGCAGCACCAGCCTCCTCGCGCTCCTCTCAGCTGTATCTAGGTCTGTCCTCCCAGTTTTAACCCAGACGCTTCTCTCAGACTACTGCCGGTCAGCCCACGCAGCTTCTGTATAGACAGCAGAGACCACGCTCCAAAACACGGACCTTCCACGTCACCAGGGCGCAGCGGGGGGCCAGGCTGAATCCCCCAGACCCTCTCCAGGGCCCCAATGCTTCCAACTTGCTCAGCAGCAGAAAGGCCCGAGCAATATCTGCTCTGGGAACCTAGTGAGAGCCCCAATTTCGGCTTCTAGTTACCTCGATAGCACACCACGCCCACAGGAGGGGGAGAAAATATCAAAATGCGCTTTCGAAGTAAGGCGAATTTCCAGAGGACGAGGATCTGTTCCCCAAAGAACTTGATGAACTGAGACATGCAGCCAGCTGGGTGTGTGATCTGAAAGAAACAAAGGGGAAGAGGAGGCTGGTTGGGTGCCTTTGCTAGAAGACTCAGCACGAGGGTGTGCTGGCCCTCCCCCTCCCTCCTGTCCTGCTGCCCCCAGGCAGGCCGGGGCCCTGGGCTGGCCCAGCCAGACCAGGAGCACAGACCCGGCCCTGTCATTGCCAGCCCGAGGGAACCTCGGACTGAATGTCAGAGACAGCAGAGCTGCTCACCCCCAGGAAGGCCAAGGGCATTCTGGACAGGTGTGACACCCAGGCCTCCTGTGGCTCAACCAGGCAGCGCTCCAGGTGGGCCACTGCACCTGCGCTGCGGGCCCAGGCCAGGAGGGGGCGCCCCTTCCCCACCCGGCGGCCAGCACCTGCCACGCGCCTCTCCGCTGCGGCGGAAGGGGTGCCCTCGCCTGCCCGGGGCGGGACCGCCTCTGCCCACTGTCCTCGCGCACCCCAACTCTCCGGGAGGGTCTCTCTGGGCAACCAGCACCCAGGGAAGCCAGCGCTCCGACACCCCAGCTTCATCTCCGCTCTTTTCACACGGACGCTCCCTCGGGGGCCTGCGTGTCTGCCTGTTTCAGCAGAGATGCGGGAGCCCTGACGGACCTTGAACTAGACGTCCCTGGCACACACACTCGCTCCTCCACTGGCTTACAGCCGGGACCGTCCCGCACGGGGGCGGCCGGATCCGGGGGGCCTTGCGCTCTTCGTGTTCACAATCGTGAAGGACTGCTTTTTAGAAAGCAGCGCGCCCCCATTTCCCTCCGCACCCCATTGCACACCCGTCCCTGCATCTCCCAGGGCTGCACACAGACATCAGCCTGCTGCCCTCCGCAGGCCACCTCTGCCTCCCTCTGTCCCTCCTCCTCGGCTTCCAGGGACCCCTGGCTCAGCTGGGAGTCACCCCTCAGTGGGCTTGGACACAGCCCAGCAACAGTTTGACTCAGGAAGGAAAAGTAGGTCACGGTGAGGACTGCAGAGACACAGCACGGTCCGGCCAACACCATCAGCCGAGAACAGCCGAGGGCCGCTGGCCCTTCAACCGTTGCCTCTGAGTCGGGGCACGCTGCTGTCCGCCGCGGTCCCAGTGGGAGGAAATGGCCACTGGCCGGGAGAGGACCCTCCCCCGTCTGAGCACCTGTGGGTGCTCCTCCAGCAGCAGAGGTACCTCGAGTTCTAGCCTCGCTCCTCCTCACGGCGCACCCCCGGCTGAGCCGCCCCTCAGAGGCCGCCCCGTCACCAGGCACAGCCCCCCGGCAGGCGGACACTGGTGCACAGGGCCCCCAGAGCTGCAGCTTTGATGGTGCCCGCTGTCACCCGGCCCTCTGCGACTTTGTGGCAGGCGGCCTCTAGGACAGCACCCGGCGGCCTCCCCTCTGGGTGTCTGCCGCCCTGTATCACCCACCCTCCCTTTTACCATCTTGCTGTCAACACACTGAATGCGCCAACGCTGAGGGTCCCGTGTCACGATGAGGTCACGGAGGACGGCGACTCACCTGGCCAGAGAGTGTCTGCTTGCGGGGTTGGACGAAGCCAGCCGCGGCGCTGGGGCGACCCCTGTGGCTGCAGACGGAGGGCAGCAAGCTGCCGGCCAGGCCCCAGACCCCCAGGCCCCTGCCCTGAAGGACGCCGACCCTGCCAGCAGCCGGGAGGAGAGGCGGGTGCTTCCCCAGCTGAGCCTTTCCGTGAGACCCCAACCTGTCTGGCCCCAGCAGGGTCACGAGAGACCGTGAAGCAGAGACCCACTTAAGCTCAGCCTGGGCTCCTGACCCCCAGAGCCTGAGAGAGAGTAACACCTGCGCAACTTGGGACGCAGCAATAGATAACGAAGTCGCTGTCCGCACTGCTAATATTTGAGCTACCCCCGCTCCCTGCCGGGCTTCGGTCTTCCACTTCCCGTGTCCGAGACCCCTGTCTTGCGTCGGGGGGACATATGCGTGACACAGTTTGTGTTTTCCTAACAAGACCCTCACGGGTGTTTCTTCAGATTCACGCTCCACCGTCTCTACAATTTGACTCTCACCTATTTTTCTAAACGTCCCTTCCTGGACAACTGACAGAAAAGTTCCGTCCCAGTCAAATGTGTCTGTTCGGGTCCACAACTTGCCTGGTGCTTTCTCGAGGCCACGTCTCTGCAAGGGCCGCAGAGGGCCAGCGAGGAGCTCGCCCTCCGACCCGCTCCGAGGACTTAGGCAGTTACTGAGTCTACAGAGCCATTCGCCTCCATCTGTAAAACGGGTGAAGGAAGCCTTTGGAGACCGCGGTGACTGCTGGCCCTTCCTGTGGGCGCTGGCATGGTGACAGGCCGTGGCCACTGCCACTCTGCTCCCTGCGCCCGGGTGCACGGCCCCTCCCCACCTGGCTAGGGGTGCCGCGGACACCCCTCTTCGGGACGCCTCCCGGACTCCTCCCTTCGTGCCTGGCCTGTGAGCAGCTGCAGGGCGGGCGACGGGCTCAGTGCTCTCAGCCACCTCCGTACCCTCCCCCACACCTGCGTGGACGTTTTATTAACTGTCAGCAAACGCACTTTAGCACAAAGCAAAGTTCATCGGGAAAAATAGTAAGTTATCTGGAGGGAGTGAGACTTCCAGTTGTGAGCAGGATGTTGATGGAACACCACGTGCAGCAACTAAGGGCCCCGCTGCAATAAATGTAAACAAATACACAGCGAGGCTGTCGTGGGCAGGATTCACAGCTGCCCGTCAGCTCTCCCTCTCCCTTCTAGTGCTGGCTTTAGGCAGTCTGAAGCACTCACACAACCCACTCCATCCGCGCCACCTGAACTGGCCAGCCTGGCTTCTGCACTGTGATTACAGAACTTTCTAGAAAGCATCCCGCTGCCTTGTAAGAGAACCCAAACGCTGAGACCACATCCTGTGCTACCCAGAGCAGACTTGGGGTGAGTCCAAAGCGTCATGCTTTATGCACTAAAAAGTCACCATCAAGATGGCACCCAGGACTGAGCAAGCGGCGACCCACCTTCATCTCGGGGTACATGTAACGGTGGATGGAGGGCAGCCAGTAGACAGGGGGCAGGCTGCCGCCTCTCCCCGGCCCCGCGTGGAGCACCCCTTTCTTGTCCTCGTAGAAGGCAGCCAGGTGAGAGTAATGTCCCGGGGTCTCCAGCTGGTGCCTGCACAACACACAGCACACAGCACACAGCACGTGAGCGGGGCCACCTGCCCCACAGGCGGACGCTTAGGGGCCAGGGCCGGTCCACCCTGAAGACCCCGAGGGCCCCGGGGAGCTCGGCCTGGGTGGGCGAGGCCATGGCCTGTGTCGCTGTTGGCCTGTCCCAGACTCACACGCGAACTGCTCAGAGTGAACACGGCCGCTGGCCGCTGGCTGCTGGCCAGCCAAACCCCTCCAGGGGACTCAGGTTCCCAATGTCAGGGCCATGCTGGCAGCCCTTCCCCGAGAGCTCTCTGGCAGGCGGCTCTACACCTCCACCCGGCTCTCTGCTCTCCATGTGTCGATAATAGCACCTCCACAGCCTGATTTTGAGGTGTCCACGGGTGAAGTAGAGCAGGCGCCCGGCACAGGGTCGGCACCTTTCGGTCCCTCCCGGAGGGTGACGGGCCACCCTGCCTGGCCCTCCTGCCGCTCCCATCAGGCTGGAGACAGCTGGCAAGTGGGGGACACTTGGGGCGGGAGAGACCTGTGATATGTTACACCTCAGGAAGAAAAACCGGTTCCCACAAACAGAAGATGACTAAGGTCAGTTCCTCCCTAAGAGCTGGTGCCTGGCGTCAGGGCTCGCCACATCGTCTTTTGAGCTCTGCCCCAGGAGGCAGTTACGTGCTCACGCTGGGCGTGTGTCCTGTCCTTCACTCCAACAGGTGTTCAGGTCTGGGCGGAAAAGTCAGGTGGCTACGAGGTGTGAGGCGGTTCTGAGGAGAAGGGAGATGTCAGGGATGTGTGACCAAAGTTTAATACTAAGCAATAGGGCCCTCGCTGGGTGGCGCAGAGGGTCAGAGTGCTGCACTGCGAAGCCAAGCCACGCTGTGGCTGCTTCAGTACAAGTTCATCCCCAGCCCCAGAGGTGACCACATGGCGCGGCAGACCTCTCCTGACCCGCCCGCTGCTCCCCTCAGCAGTGTACTTTGTCGATCTGCCTGTTCTGCTCCCCGCTCTGTCTCTGGTGAAACCTCTCACCGCCCCTGCACCTCTGGCCTGTACCTTATTTCTGTATGAAGAAATAAAATCTTAGGGGAAAAAAAAGATGCTGGAAAATTAGAAAAGAAGGGTGCTTAAAAAAATATACTAGTGGGAGGAGGAAAATACACTGGACTATGATGATGGCACACAGGTGATTTGGTGATGGGAAGCCCAAGGGGATTGCAACTGAGATGGGAAAATAAACTATTCTATAAGAGAAATACTAAGCAACAAGATGATTAAGTTTAGAGGTGCTTTTGTGAGCACCTAATTTCCCCAAAACACAAAAAGCTAAGAGTTATTTAGTAGAATCTGCAATACTGTACGTCCTCCGCACAGGGGGCTTTATCACCCAAGGCAACGTAGGAAATGGAATGGTTTTTCATTTTATTCAGTTGATTTGCTACTCAGTTGTCTTTTTGATTTGATGACAGTAAATGCTGCACACGGGCCAAGATTCTAGAGCACAGCTTCCTAAGAGCAGTAGTCTCTTCGGCAAAAAGCTAGTTTCTCCACAAACCTAAGGAAGCATTGGCTAGCAGAGTGAGAAGACAATGACCTGGAATCTCAGGTGTGAACACAAACGGAAATGCAGATCGGCGGCTCAGAGATAAATGTTAAGCTACAATCGAACCCTCAGCATTTAAGCAGACTGGTGATTTCACGGTAAACAAGATTTTTCAATAAACCCAAAACATAAATTAAAACAAGACTGACATTGTTGGAAGACTGTCAGACATGATGCAGAAGTGGGTGGGTCTTCAGAAGGAGACAGATACGGGAGGCTGCCTTCCTAGAGATCTGTGTACCAGGATGTAGCCACCGCTGAGGGACACCCCTGAGGCACACTGGTTAAAGCTCAGCACTATGAAGCTGTCCGCAGCCACTGCAGCATGAGCTGAATCCCTGGCCAGGGAGCTGACCCACATGGCGTGGCAGACCTCTCCTGACCCGCCCGCTGTTCCCCTCAGCAGTGTACTTCATCAGCCTGCCCATTCTGCTCCCCACTGTCTCTGGTGATGCCTCCCAACACCCCTATACCTCTGGCCTGTACCCTGTTCTGTGTGCATCAATAATTGAGAAAGAAAGAAAGAAACCACCTGCTGAAATACAGGCCAAGTCACCTCCAGACACTGACCAACAAAAACAACATGGTGGAACCAAGAGAACAACTGGCAAAATCTACGCTCCTGCTGGAGCCACAGGCTTCTCGGTCCCATCAGCGATGCCTCTGCCTGCCCTGCACTCTCCGACTTAGGTGTAAGCCTCTGTGCCAGGCAGCTGCCCCTGCCGCCCACTCTGCTCCCCCAAAACCCCAGTGGGAGAATCAGGCACACCAGAGTAGCGGGGGCTCTTCTTCAGACAGGACGCCCCCCAACATGCATGCAGGTACAGAGTGGACCCCCCCTTCTGAAGGGTCTCGTGCAGTCTGCCCTGGGGGTACATGAGCACCCTCTGACCCCACGATCCCATGTCCAGGAGTGTGGCCTTCCTAGTTGTTCTTCTCACATCCAACTCACTCATCCGTGTTTCGTCCACCACTCTTGGATTCGGTGTCTCTACTGACACTTCCTTCTGGGACTATTTTCGGGTGTGACCGTCATTAACGCACAAGGATGCTCACATCCAAGTGGGGAGAAAGAAGAACCCCCAGGAGCCAACAACAGCTGAAACCCTGAAGCAGCTGTGACAGCTCGGTGTGGAAATGCTGTGACACCTGTGACACCAGCCAGGCGATGCTGTGGCCGTCACTGGTGCTGCACTTCTCGCACACGAGTCAGAGCGGTTAGTGTGAGGGACCTCGACATCTGAGTTTTTAAAAAAGTTAATGTGTGTGTTTATGTTTAGACATGAAAAAAGGACCAGAGGACTGGAAATGCAAACAGTCGATATGTATGGTGGATGGGAATGTGTTTCCCCCATCTTTGAACGTTGGTCTGTTGTTAAAGTTTTGTACAGTGATTCCATGTAAATTTTCAATTTAGTCTTTCTTAACTTTTTAGTCTTTTTTTTTAAAGATTTCTTTATGCATACAAGAACTGGGGTGTAGGCCAGAGGTGTGGAGGGTGGTGGGTTGAGAGGATTCACCAGAGACAGAGTGGGGAGCAGAACAGGCAGACTGACTGAACACACTGCTGAGGGGAGCAGTTGGTAGACAGGAGAGGTCTGCTGTGCCTTGTGGGTCAGCTCTGGGGCAGGGGATCGAACTCATACTGCAGTGGCTGCAGACAACTTCATAGTGCACTTTAACCATTTTGCCACCAGAGAGGGAAGTTTTTATGGAAATTTTCAAACATACTCAACAAGTAGAAAGAAGCCTAAATCCCAGATAGCCAACATTTAGTTTCAAGTAATATTTTATCAATGTGGCTTGTTGATCTAGATCCTGTTCCCCACTGCAGTTACAGTCTTTTCTCTGGGGTGTCTGAAAGCAAATCCCCATCATAATATTTCACCCATGGTGACTTTGTGGCACCTCTGACCATGTATTTAAAATATGACATGACTCCCCTGCCTTGACCCCACCAAATAAAACCCACTCATATCATGTGAGTTCCCTCCCCCAGATTACTGTTTTGCAGTTGGTGTGCTTGAAGTTGAACTTAAGGTACAGAGATGCAGTTATGAATCAAATTATTTTTGTTGATAATATACCCTATTTCTTGTTCAGTTTTTTAAATGATAAGGTGGTTCTCTAATATCTTCTGGTTAATAACAGTCATAGGAAGAACACTAACTAGAGAGATACTGAAGCCCAAAGTAGTGGACAAAACACTGATAAGTAAGCTTGGGATGTGAGAACGAACAGAAAACGCACGAGGAGTTTTGAGCCATTTGACAGGGACATCCTTGCTGCATTTCCCAGGTAAGCTGAGCTCACGGCGCTAAGCCTCTTTCTTTTCCTCTGCTCTCTTGGAGAAGTCCCTTCCCCCTGTCCCTCCAGCCCTCTGAGTCACCACATTGGAAAACCTTTCTTGCTAGAACTCAAAATCTAGGAGCCATAAAAAGATCAGCCAATTGAATGAAGAAAACATCTGCACCACAAATAAGCTGTGTTAAAAGATGACCAAGTAGAGACATATTTTCAATCCATGTCACAAAGGACAAATGTCCCCATTATATAAAGAACTCTGTGAAATAAGGCCAGCAACCGACCAAAATTTCTCAGAAATGGAAAAACAGATGATTCAAACTTATTTATTTTACCCATTTGAGTGCCACCATTCGTATTGTTGAGTTGGAGGGAAAAACCTGCCTTCCTCATCTCTGGGTGTGAAAAATGGCACAATCTCTATGGAAAGTAATTTGACCGTATCTGTGATAATGACAAACACACATACCCTTTGAATTACCGACTTCATTTCTGGAAATTCAATGTGCATAGATCCTGCTCATGTGAGAAATGATATTGTTCATGGATGTTCAGTACAGCAAGAGACTGGAAGCCGTCAAGTGTCTCTCAATACAACCCTTTATAAAGCAAGTCCAGTTCTATGCAGGACATGCAAAACAGTGGGAAGGGCTGATGAACCGAGTGAGTATTTTAGACCGTCTTCGTGTCTAAAAAAAGGCAAGGTACAAAGCAACATGTATACACATTGCTGCTTTTTGTCTGCAGAGGGAGGACATAAGGACGTTTATTTGTATCTGTGCACGCATGCACAGACATTGGAAAGACACATGAGAAATTAGCTGTGACTACTGGATAACTGAATGGGTGTGGGAACTGGCTGAAGACTTTTCATTTTATACCAGGCGTGGAAACGCTTACTCTCTTCTTTCTTAGTTAAGAGCTGACCACATGGCCATCCAGTTAAGGGCATTTCCCAAACTCCTGGCTGCTACGTGTGTGGCTGGTAGGTCAGAACCAGACTAAGAGCCCGTTCGGTTTGTGGGAATTCTGCGTCTTTCCCTGTGATAGTGACCCTGTGATGGTGAGTCCATTGCTACCAGGTGGATGAGGGCCCTATCCGA